CATGGCATTAATCCTATTGCTGTCTTAGCGGTCAGATAAAGATCCTCATCCAATAAACATAGGGCTAGATATTCACGTTAGTCGTTAGTCGAGATACAACTTGAGCATGTATAAGCTCTTTTTTCAGGAGGGGGGGGGGGGGGGTGGGCGACTATATCGTAGTCGTAGTCCAAATCAATTTAGTGCGTGTGCAAAACTCCCCCTCCCTGTTTCAGGTATATATGCGAGAAATTAGCTACGGCTAGGGGAGAGATGGGGTGAGAAAGAGGAGGAGAAAGGACAATTATTGTTAGACTATGAGGAGGGATGTAGAAGTGTCGTAGTCGAGTGGTTTAAGCGCTTGACTTGAAATTCGAAGGTCGTGGTTCGATCCCGGACACGGCAACAATGTCATTTGGCAAGGTATTAATCTTCATTTGCCATACTCGACCCAGGTGAGGTAAATGGGTACCTGGCAGGAATTAATTCCTTGAAATGCTAGAGCGCTGTAATGGCAGCTAGGCTAAAGCCGGGGTAATAATTAATCTGTCCAATAGAATTTCCTAGATAGACGGCGCTATATAAATGCCTATTATTGTTATTATTACCCAATGGCAAAATGCATGCTCATTATGGCAAGAAGGAAAATACATTCGATAGATAGGCAAAAATAGTTTGAGATAAATCGTTTCAACTGATGGTTTTCGGCAGCCCTGTACCCTTTTTTTGACAGTCAAACTAAAGGATCATGATATAAATCAATCATTAACTTTGTAATTGTATCATCGGTACGTTTTCAAAATTATGTTACTTATGAAAGTGTTACGATATACGATATCCGATATATCCGGTATCCGTCGTAGTTCAATAAACATGGTCACCATCATCACAAACCTGACTGCCGACTCGTCTATTATCATGAGTATCTACCAAATCTAAGACCCTCGAACTCATCATGGTGGCAGCTGCTGGGATCTTCGAAATCAAGTTTGATTTTTGAAGACACAATTGATCCAGTTCACGACAGTTGGGAAGTATAATTAGCAAAATTATCGTCGATTAGCGATTTGTCACGTCGCACTTTTTCGTATGCATTGTACGTGCACCGTACATATATACAGCACAGTGTACCGAGACACTGATGCTACTGCATAATCCAGATGAACTCGTACGTGAATGGTGATGTGTGTATAAGCATATAAAGGTTCATAAAGCCTGCTCAGAATAGCCTAATCAAGTTATAACTGTGCTCAATCACTGACACAGGGGTCTGCATAATAACTTAACTAGTAAAGTTTAAATCTAAAATTAAACTAAATCAGAGGTGTGAACATTAAACCTGTTTTCAGATAATATTAACAATAATAGACTATCTGGTGTGTGAGGAATTGTCACTGTCGGACATATTGAGTGAGAGTGATCAACATTTTCATTGCATGAGACACCTAATGACATTCACACAGGTGTGAGAGCGTACACAGGTTTACGTGTACGAACCTTATCAACACCAGCCGGTTAGGACCTGTTCACACTAAGATAAACAACACAAAGATTTACACTCATTCATATAATCTGTCGTAACCAATACGCACACGTGACATATACAATGAGTACTAAGTATCCAGAGATGAACTGGGAGGTACCAGACCTACCCGAAGAGTTCAAGCTATTTAAGCAGAGAATGGAGCTTGTGTTGGCAGATCAAGAAATAACTGAAAACAAAAAAAAGGCTATAAAAATAAAAATCGCTGTAGGCAACGAAGGTTTGCGCCGCATCAATGCGTCTGGGCTATCAGAGGCCGACCAAGAAAAACCACAAGAACTGTGGAAATTATTTGAGAAACAAATAAAGGTAAACATTAATTTTCGGGTCCATCGTCTCGAGCTGATGCGATATCGGCAGAGACAAGATGAGAGCATTGACGCATTCGTTACTCGATGTAGAGACAAAGCCAACACATGCGATTTTGAGGAATCCGAGCTTGCCGAGCGGATAATGGAGGTAGTCATCACCTCAACACCAAGTCTAGAATTCCAGAAATTCCTATTGGACCAGCCTAAAGGATATCAAATCGATGCAATTCTAGTAGAGGGCCGAAAATACGAGGCAGTTGCGGCGAGCAGAAAATGCCTAGAAACGCTTGAGCCGGCTAAAGAAAGCATAGATTCATTCAAGCGGAACCAGGGACGAAAGACGTGTGGAAACTGTGGACGTATCCACAAACCTCGTCAGTGCCCTGCGTACCACGATGTGTGTCGTGCCTGTGACACAAAGGGCCATTGGGCCAAGTTCTGTAGAAAGGCTAAGAACGATCGAAGTCGAAAACCAGATCGTAGATCAGATGACCATAAATCTGATGACCGTCAACCGAAACACGGTAACCAATCACGATCAAAATCAAAGGGTCGAAAGTATAAACCGATAAGTGAAATGGACACTGAACATGATACTAGCACAGATCATGAACATCAACAATCAGCAGGTCCATCAAACTTCGAACATTTTGACACCATACACACGATCGGAACACACACAGTGATCAACTCAAAGGGTACAGTAGCTTTTGCAAACATTGACATCATATGCCCACAGAAATCAGGTCAGCATTACCTATATCTGAAGATAGACTCTGGGGCAAGCGCTAATACTATCACAGTACGCACAGCCAAACAAATATATGGTGACAAGTGGAGGCAAGTAGTGAAACGTACACCAGTAAAGCTAGTAGCATATGGCGAAATATCAATACCATGCGTTGGTACACTAGACATAAAGTGTAGATACAAGAGTCCAGAATGGTATACACATACATTCTACGTAGCAGACGTGAATGGACCAGCTATCTTAGGGTTGTTAGGTTGCACAGATCTCGGGATTATCACAATCCACACAATGCACAAGGACACACCTACACATACACCTATCACAAGTGTTAGTGACCTCAAACAAACATACCCAGATCAGTTTGATGCCATAGGAAGCTTTAGCGGGAAAGCAATGCTGCATCTGAAAGATGATGCAGAGCCAACCATAGATGCACCTAGAAAGTGCAGTGTCCATCTGAAGGACAAGATCAAAGCCGAACTAGATAACATGGAGAAGCAAGGAGTCATCAGAAAGATAGAACACCACACAGATTGGTGTAGCTCGATGACCACCGTTGTGAAGAAAGATGGATCCATACGGATATGTCTTGACCCCAGAAGGTTGAACGATGCCTTGAAAAGGTGTCCACACAAAATTCCAACCTTGGAAGAAATCCAACCAATCTTCGCAGGAGCTCAATTCTTCTCCAAGCTAGACGCAAAGGCTGGATACTGGTCAGTACACCTAGCAGAGGAATGCCAAGACCTGACCACCTTCAGAACACCATTTGGAAGATATTGTTTCCAAAGATTACCCTTCGGCTTATGCACAAGCCAAGACATCTTCCAGCAACACATGGATAGGATCGTCCAGAATGTGCCTGGCTGCGTATGTATCGCAGACGACATTGCCATTGTCGGGAAAACAGAGGAGGAACACGACAAGAATCTCCACTTACTCATGGAGACAGCGAAACAGGAAGGACTCGTGTTCAACAGCTCCAAGTGTACTATCAAGAAGGAAGCTATCAGCTACTTTGGATCCATGTACACAAGATCTGGAATCTTCCCAGATCCAAGCAAGGTTGAAGCTATCAACACAATGCCTTCACCCAAGGACAAGGAAGATGTTCAGAGATGCCTAGGATTATTCACATACCTAGCACCATACATTCCTAATCTATCAGAGAAGTCAGCACCACTTCGTGAACTCCTTCACAAGGAAATTCCATTCGTCTGGGACGAGGATCACGAACATGCCTTAAACAGCCTGAAAAGCGCAGTCTCATCGGGTGCATGCCTGCAGTTCTTTGACCCAAAGAAAGAGACAACCGTTGAGGTAGATGCGTCGATGAAAGGGCTGGGAGCATGCCTGCTCCAAGATGGCAAACCCGTAGCTTTTGCATCCAAAAGTCTCTCCAATGCACAGTCCAACTACTCGAACATAGAGAGGGAAACCTTAGCCCTAGTGTTTGGTATCGTCCGATTCCATACATACCTATTCGGGAAGGAATTCACTGTGATAACAGATCACAGGCCTTTGGAGACAATTTGGAAGAAACCTCTAAGAAGCGCACCACCTCGTCTACAGAGACTATTGATCAAGGTACAAGGATACAGATGCCAAGTCAAGTACCGACCTGGGAAAGAAATGATTCTTTCAGATACCTTGAGCCGTCTTCCTAACCCCAAGGAAGCACGCGATGTTCCACTAGACATCAGAGTGGAATCAATCTGCTCCGAAGTAGAAGACACTCATCAAATCGACTTGATCTTCTTCGGACAACACAAGAGAACAGAACTCCAGAGGGAAACATCCAATGACCCTGTTCTTAGGTCATTGTGGCAGACAGTCACTCAGGGTTGGCCTGAAACTCTTCAGGAGCTGCCGACATCCCTCAGGGAATTCTGGTCTTACAGAGATGAGATTGGAGTATCTCAAGGAGTACTCTTCAAAGGAAGTCGAGTCATCATACCAAAGACACTTCAGGAAGATATCCTTAGACAACTTCATCTTGGACACATGGGAATCGAGAGCACGAGACGACTAGCTCGTGAGACAGTGTTCTGGCCACACATCAACAAGGACATTGAACAGATCGTAAAGCAATGTGCTGCATGCCAGGAACACCAGGCAAGGCAACAGAAAGAGCCGTTGCTTCCCCATGATGTACCTTCAGCACCTTGGACTAGACTAGGAACAGATTTGTTCATGCTAAACAGACAAGACTATTTACTCGTCACTGACTATTACTCCAAGTATCCGATAGTCTACAAGCTGACTGACACATCAAGTGCTGCAGTAGCCAACGTGATGAGTGGAATCTTCAGTCTATTTGGTCCACCAGAGGAGATCGTATCCGACAACGGTCCACAATTTGTCGGGAAGCACTTCAAGGACATGTGCCGGAAGTGGTCGATCACCCATACAACCTGTTGATACGAGTTTTTCCCAATTTGACATTGTGACGTCAGAAGCGGGGTTTTTAGCTGGATTCTGCATTCAGGTCATAGAGGGCGGGATTTGATTCTGTGGAGCTACTGATTTACGTTACACTGAATGTTTATTACACTGAAAAGTCTACTGTAATTTTGTTTTCCTGAGACAGCCCAATGTTGTAAGTAGAAAATTACTGCATATTATGATAGCTCAATATTTACTCTTTTGCCTGATGTTAATGGTGATTATAATGGTGGATTGATGTGATGTATGAAATAAGATTAGAATCATAGAACATCCATACGTTTTGAATGTAAATGTACCACATATAAGTTTTGGCGTAAGTAGCGTATACAATAATTCATGCTGGAAAAGTACGAAATATCCAAGTAAGGTTATGATATTATGAATGAGCTAGAAGCTCTATTAATGTATGAGAGAATACGATTATGACTTAATTATGAACAGAAGATGATGGTCTAAATTCAGTTAGCTAGGGAAAGTAGCATTTGAGGTAAAGGGGAAATTTTAGCACAAAATGACAGAAAGTAGGTCGGGTCAATTTGCATGACTAGGGTAGGCATACAGAATATGGAGTGAATATTTTGATACAGGCATCAAGGATAACAATGTCATTTACAGTTATTATTCGGTGCTATGCATTTGGAAGACAGTTTGTTGCATCAAACTTGATTGTTTTAATTGCGTGATGCATATGTATATCAGCCATGCTGATAATTTGTTTTATCTGTTCTATCTTTTATTAAAGGTTGAACCACTCATTGGTATCATCGCAAGGGCATTGTTGTCGAGTCGTCATTGCAGTTGGGCTTAGTAATAGACATAACGTCACCGTTCCTACATCAGTTCAACAACAGCTTCCAGGTCCACATCAGACTACAGACAGGCTGTTACAATGAGTACTGTTGGACAAAAGAATGCCAAAGGAGACCCTGAGGGTGGAGTCCGTCCTGAAGATTCGGCCAGCCAGTGTGGGAGCACTACATCTTCAGTGCGACTGCGGACTTTGGCACGTAGAGCTGCTTTAGCTGTTGAGGCTGAAGCACTGAAACAGAAGATGGCGCTGGAAAAGGAGGAGTTAGCTTTGAGACAGCGTAAAGCTCAGCTAGATATGGATACCAGGATGAAAATATCTGATGCTGAGACACAAGTCTATTTGAATGAAGCGGATAGGCTATTGTCGGATGAAGCTAGTGCTCCTCAGAAACATCCAGTTGAAGTGAATGAAACGTTGACATATCCGCTGGACTCTGGAACGCCAACGCCAACCCAGGTTGAACAGAGTACGAAGCCAACGGAGGCTTTGTTGCTGCAGATTTTGCAGGAGGGACAGAAACAACAGAGGCAATTATTGGAGTCTCTTAATGTGCCTCAAACACAAATGATGACGTATGATGGCAACCCTCTTAAATATTGGGAGTTTTGGAGGGCGTTTGAGAACTCAATAGACTGTACAAGTATTCCGGACAGTGCCAAACTGACCCGACTTCTATACTACTGCGAAGGAGATGCCCGCAAAATCTTGCAGCCTTGTAGTATTATGCCATCTGGCGAAGGGTATATGAGGGCGAAGGCCATGCTACAAGAGAGGTTTGGTACACCCTTCATGATAGCTGATGCTTGGATCAGGAAAGTGACCGGAGGGCGGAAGATCACCGGACGGGACAAGAGGGCCCTAAGAGAATTCGCAGATGAACTGCAAGTTTGCTCACTGACTTTAGATGCCATGGGTTACATTGGCGATTTGTCACCACAGTTAGTCCTTGTCCAGATAGTTGAACGACTACCACTATACTTATGCGGGAGATGGCTGAGTGTGGTACGAAGAATCAGGCGAGAGGATAGACTTCCTAACATATTTGACCTGGTGGATTTTGTCCAAGGTGCAGCTGACGAGGAGAATGATCCGGTCTACGGAAGGCTTCTTACCAAGGATCAGGGCGGTAGCGGCACCTCCCAGAACAAGAAGTCGACAGGACTGAAGAAGGGTGCTTTCTCCACGACAGCCACAGGCAATGATGTGACACCACAGCTGTGTGTGATATGCAAGGAATCGCACAGTCTGTTTGGCTGCGACAAGTTCAAACGAATGCAGCTAGATGACCGGCTGAAACTGGTGAGGGAAAACAGGCTTTGTTTTAACTGTTTGGAGAAGGGACACATGTCGAGATACTGTAAACTAAAGAGGGTATGTTCAGTTTACGGATGCAACAGGAAACATACTAAGTTTCTCCATCAGCAGAAACCAGAACAACCTCAGCAAACACAAGAGGAAGCTGTTAGTCCTTCACCTGAGAAGATTGAGAGTCACTTCACAGGGGCCGGGAACATGAAGGTGCTATTGCCAATCGTTCCTGTCTGGGTTTATGCGGCAGGCAGTAATATTGGCGTAGAGACTCTAGCACTGTTGGATTCAGGCTCGACAAGTACCTTCTGTACTAAGAAGTTGGCAGCAAGAGTGAAGGCAAGTGGATTGTCCAGTATAGTGTCTGTCTCAACTCTGGAAAGAGCCAACAGCGAACTTCAGACCAGTGTTGTAAGCCTGAAAGTTGCAGCAAAGTCATCATCCAGGATGGTGAATCTCCCTAAAGTCTATACCAAGACAGACATTAACATTAATTCAGATCACCTGCTAATGAAGGAGGATGTCGACAAACTCCAACATCTCACAGATGTCGACTTTCCATCGACTTCCAAACTGCAGGTGGATCTCCTGATTGGGCAAGATTATCCAGAGCTTATTTGTCCCCTCGAGATACGCCGTGGCGTGCCAAGGAACCCTTATGCAGTAAGGACAGTGCTGGGGTGGACCCTGAATGGGCCGGTTCAGAGCGATGGTAGGAGGATGGCTGTGACATCACACTATATCTCAGATGAAATATCCCTTGAAGACCAATGTAAGCTGTTTTGGTCTCTAGAAGGCATCGAAACCCTTCATTATGATGCTAAAGGAATGTCAGTCAAGGACCGAGAGGTATTGAAGCTATGGGAGGACAATGTGGTCATGAATGGAGGTCACTATCAACTGCCCATACCACTCAAAGAACGACCCCCGCCACTTTGTGACAATAGATGGATGGCCCAGCAGAGACTCCATTCACTTAGAAGACGACTTCTCAGGGATACGGCAATGCATGCTAAGTATACACAGGGCATGGCTGACCTAGTTGCCAAGGGCTACGCCGAGGAAGTTGATGAAACTCAACCGCCAAATGGAACTTGTTGGTACCTACCACATCACCCAGTGATAAATCCGAAGAAACCAGACAAACTTCGGATTGTATTCAATTGTGCTGCCAAGTGCTTAGGAGTTGGTCTGAACGATGTGGTGATGCAAGGGCCGGATCGGATCAACAAGTTGACTGGGGTACTTCTGCGATTTCTTCGAGCACCAATTGCCATCATGGCTGATGTGGAAACCATGTTCCACCAGGTAACAGTCCATCCAAATGAACGAGATGTACTTCGCTTCTTGTGGTGGCCTGATGGAAGAGAGGATGAAGATCCTAAGATCTACAGGATGTGCGTGCACCTGTTTGGGGGTACATGGAGCCCCAGCTGTTGCTCGTTTGCTATGCGGCAAACAGCAAAGGACTATGGAGATCAGTGCAATACCCAAGCACCAAGAGTAGTAGAGATGAATTTCTACGTAGACGACTGCCTGGTCTCTGTTGAAGAGGAAGATGAAGCTATAAGACTGGCATCAGAATTGAGAACCTTGTTGCAGAAGGGTGGATTTCGACTCGCTAAGTGGATGAGTAGCAACACAAGAGTTCTGCAAACCATACCAGTACAAGATCGGGCCAAGCCAGTGGTTGGACTCGACCTGAACTTTGATGCCCTACCAATAGAGCATGCACTTGGTATGATATGGGATGTAGAAAGAGATAGCTTTGTCTACAAGATTCAGCCGAAGGACAAGCCTTTAACACGAAGAGGACTCTTAAGTGTTGTTTCTTCTGTCTACGACCCTTTGGGATATGCTAGCCCATTTGCACGGAGAGGGAAGTTGATTCTTCAGGAGTTGACCCGGAAGAAGCTGAACTGGGATGAGCCTATCCCTGACAGTGATGCAAGGAAATGGAAGGCTTGGATTGAGGAACTTCCACAGATGGAAGGAATTGAGGTCAGTAGATGTGTCAAGCCTCAAGCAACGTCAGCGGTGGCAGCAGCCTGAACGCAATCTGCAGGTTGGTGACGTGGTTCTCATCGCAGACGGAACTGTGCCGAGGTGTTGCTGGATGATGGGACGCGTTTTAGAAGTGTACCCTGGTAAGCGGGGATATGTACGTAGCGTGAAGGTTAAGACTGCAACGTCGACACTCGTCAGACCCATCGCGAAGCTTTGTTTACTTCTCGAGCAAGAGGAATCGCGATAGACGACTTCGAGAAGTTAGCCATTTTATTTGTTGTTTTTAGAGCTGATACAAAATAATTCCAGTTCAATTCAAGATAGGGATTACTTTAGGTAGCGTTGAGCAAGAAACATTCAACTTCTGTGGACACAGCATCTAGTTTCGCATAAATGGATTCGGTTTAGATTCGCTTCAACAAGAAGAGACTTTACTACAGTGATATTATACAGATACTTTGTGTTTCGTAGTGACTTGCTGAAATGTTTAATTGAATTGAAGCATAACTCATTTCTAGTTAGAATTCAGTTTCTAAAGATAGTATTCTGATGGTAATACAATAGTTTGTAATCAGAAGATAAGGAAAGAAATACAGGTAGTATGTCCTTATTGTCATACTATTAGTGTTCTGCTATTCGGTAAGGACATATGTTTCCATAGCAACCACCTTTTTTGGATTTAAAGGGACTGTATTTATTCAGTTAGGAAATATGTTTCCATAGCAACCACCTTTTTTGGATTTAAAGGGACTGTATTTATCGAAGTCTTGAAATTTCAAGAGAGTGACAGTTTTGTAATGGATGTTGGCAGTGAAAGGTTTGGTAAATTCAAAGTATTCGGTTAATTTAAGGGGCCGGGATGTTGATACGAGTTTTTCCCAATTTGACATTGTGACGTCAGAAGCGGGGTTTTTAGCTGGATTCTGCATTCAGGTCATAGAGGGCGGGATTTGATTCTGTGGAGCTACTGATTTACGTTACACTGAATGTTTATTACACTGAAAAGTCTACTGTAATTTTGTTTTCCTGAGACAGCCCAATGTTGTAAGTAGAAAATTACTGCATATTATGATAGCTCAATATTTACTCTTTTGCCTGATGTTAATGGTGATTATAATGGTGGATTGATGTGATGTATGAAATAAGATTAGAATCATAGAACATCCATACGTTTTGAATGTAAATGTACCACATATAAGTTTTGGCGTAAGTAGCGTATACAATAATTCATGCTGGAAAAGTACGAAATATCCAAGTAAGGTTATGATATTATGAATGAGCTAGAAGCTCTATTAATGTATGAGAGAATACGATTATGACTTAATTATGAACAGAAGATGATGGTCTAAATTCAGTTAGCTAGGGAAAGTAGCATTTGAGGTAAAGGGGAAATTTTAGCACAAAATGACAGAAAGTAGGTCGGGTCAATTTGCATGACTAGGGTAGGCATACAGAATATGGAGTGAATATTTTGATACAGGCATCAAGGATAACAATGTCATTTACAGTTATTATTCGGTGCTATGCATTTGGAAGACAGTTTGTTGCATCAAACTTGATTGTTTTAATTGCGTGATGCATATGTATATCAGCCATGCTGATAATTTGTTTTATCTGTTCTATCTTTTATTAAAGGTTGAACCACTCATTGGTATCATCGCAAGGGCATTGTTGTCGAGTCGTCATTGCAGTTGGGCTTAGTAATAGACATAACGTCACCGTTCCTACACAACCTCTTCACCTCACTATCCAAGATCCAACGGACTAGCTGAGAGAATGGTTCGTACCGTCAAGAATCTGTTGAAAAAGTGTTCACAGACTGGCCAAGACAGTCAACTGGCTATGTCACACCTAAGAGCAACACCCGTTGACAGTCACATGAGATCACCTGCAGAGATGTTGTTTGGAAGACCCATCAGAACAACACTGCCAAGTCATCATCTTTCAAGAGAATCTACCACCACTGATCATCTCTTGAATCGACAGAGTAAGATGAAAGAAACGCACGATCGACATGCGGGTCCAGATCTTCCACCACTCCACGTAGGACAACCAGTCAGAGTCCTACATCCCAAAGATCATACTTGGATACCAGCCAAAGTATCCAAAGTCTGCGACGAGCCTAGGTCGTATGAAGTATCAACACCTAACGGAGGAATCCTGAGACGAAACCGATCTCACCTGAGGGAGATTCCATCGTCAACCAACCCTACTCCAAAGCGTGTTAGGTTCGACGAAGACTACACTTCACCTACTCAAGCAGAAACACCAGAGCAGAATGGCAACAGCCATCAGCCAACACCAGAAACTCAGAACATTCAATCTAAAGGACCAACATCAAACTCGCAAACCACAACAAGATATGGACGCAACATCCGTACACCAGCGAGATACATGTTTGAAGATTGAAACTGAACTCTTAAATTTCTTCAAAGAAGAGAGAAGATAAAGAAGAACACAGAAGACGCTTAGTTTAATGTAGTCTAAGAAGTTTATTGTTCATATGTATGTATAATCATTGTACAGTATTTTTGGTATGACAAGCATAATGTTTATAAGTCTAAACAGATGCTAGCCCAAACATGTTTCGTTTGGAAATTCATTTTATAAAGGAATCAAGTTATATCAAAACTATGTTCAATCTTGCAGATCAACTGTGAAGTTGAAAGTGGAACGATATAATTATATAGACAGTTAAATACTCATTCGTTAATACAATACAAAAGAAACGTATTGAAAACAAATCAAGATTTTATGTTATATAACCTGATTGGAAAAAGTTTATTAGGAAGCAAATAACCAAAACTTGCATACTACCAAAAGTATTGTTATCAAAGCAATATGTCATTAATCATCGATCAGTGATGTTCACTGATTCCCAATCTTTCCAGAGGAAGGGGGATGTTACGATATACGATATCCGATATATCCGGTATCCGTCGTAGTTCAATAAACATGGTCACCATCATCACAAACCTGACTGCCGACTCGTCTATTATCATGAGTATCTACCAAATCTAAGACCCTCGAACTCATCAGAAAGTAGAAATAAATCATTTCATGGGCGTTCCCAACCTGCCAAGGAACATAACATAGTCAAACATCCGTCAGAAGAGGGCAGTATTGATAGAGCTAACAGACTGCTAAATCAACAGCTCATCATCTTATAGACCAGTTCACGGTTAGCACATTACTGCAATGACCCCGAATATCCACAGATCTTCAAAACATGAAGAGGTCCCACTTTGTACATTTTGAAATAATCACTCCAACAGCAAAGGAGGTGCTATATAAATAGCCTTTGTTTCCCCTTTTCAAAGAATACTTCCACCTGTGTATCATTGAGTGCACTGAATGTGCATGAATGAATAATGATTACATAACGTTCATGAGCACGTATCCAGTATTTCGTCTCTGTGTATTTTAAAATTTGTTCTGCAATGACCTTTATCTGCTCATGCTCAGACTGTAACCGTGAACTGGCTTATTGTATCGATTTAATGCCAAACGTCATCTATTCATTAAACAAATATATATCATTGTAATCATAAGCTTTCAGAAAAAAGAAAGAAAAGGAGTGTCTTTTCTGATGGTTATTATTTCGGATACAGCCATGCATGAGTTTTACCTATGTGGGCCTATATCGAATTAACATGTGTATAAATGTTCTGTTTTGGGCATCCAAAAACATTATTAATAGTACTGTCTATCAACTTAATATACGATCATTACACTGCACAGTAACATGTGTTATATATTATTATATAATATAGGGCTTATAAATTCAGATAAAATATCGATATGATATGAATGTTGAAGTGGTTTATGTTTATTCTCTCTATATATACTCGATTTATGTTGTACTTATGTATCATGTCACATGTGGATTTTATTTATTTTTCTCTGTGAATAATGCATGTTAACGCAAATTTCCTTTTGGACCAATACATTTGAATTGAATTGAATATCAGCTATGCAAGGTGCTCAAGGCGCTTGATATTACTCCGGCTTTACATGACTACCAATGTCGGTGCTCACATCAACTAGGCACCTGTCTTACACGAACAAAATGTTTGTTGTTTTGTTTTGGTTCAATGCAACCCATTACACTGGATTAGAAATATGCAGGGGGATATCATATCGACATCTTTTTCGTCTTTTTTCCTTTCTCCCTTTATTATTCTCTCGTTTTCTCCATTTTATTCCATTTCCCTTTTTCTCCTTTTGCACGTACCCCTACCCCGTGTCCCCTTATAGCTACAGCACTGTTCCGGGAAATTCCTGCGAAACACGAAAGCTTCTTGTGACGCCTATGCGCTATCTCGAAACATTTGAACATCCTGTAAAGACGCTTGGAGGACGTGAAGGGACCGTCGTGTGTTTGCTGGGCTCGGACAAAGTCAGATTACTTATGCCCTAAGTTTTCGTACAGAAATGTTTCTAATTTGCCCCGAAAGAGAGATCGTGTAGTTTGAACTTATATATAATAGGCCAAGGTGCTTATATGGGCAGATTGTTTACCTCTAGAATTACGTTCAAGGTAAAGCAAAACAGAAAAACTAACAACAGAATATCAAACAAGCATCGAGAGGAAGAAAATGACGTCATGAATAAGTGTTCCTGAGGCTTATATCATTCTTGCGTGCGAAATAATATTAGTAGGATATTCTTTTTTGGGGGTGTTTAACAGCGTTGGTCTATTTCTTGTTATTGCATATGAAATAAATAAAGGGCTGTAAAGTTGAAGTAAGGGTAGAATTTATAAAGTACATACCGCATTCCAACTCGTCACTCCCATCCGAACATTCTGGTAGGCCATTGCACAGCAAATCAATCGGGATACATGGCATAGTCCCAGAGATACACCTGAATTGATCAGCCTGGCAGCTAGGCCGCTGGTCAGCACCTACAAACAAAATCACAGAATAGTCTACAATTGAAAAGAAATTCACGGTAAAGTAGTTGTGCACTAGAATCAAAAGAATACGCCGCATCTCTAGAAGAACCGCTTTTTTTTTAAATCACGGAAAAATGAACATATTATAAGCGCACCGTCCAGGTAATTGGGAAGTATTTTAATTTCAAATCACAATTGATGGTTGATTCATGTTAATTTATTTCCCATATACATCATCACGAGCTGATGAATTTCTAACAAATCATGGTCACATTATGTAAACAATGCATAATGGAAATCGGATGACCAACACCAAGAATTGAAAGAGAGAGAGAGAGAGAGAGAGAGAAAGAAATAAAGGGAGAGAGAGAGAGAGAGAGAGAGAGTTGCATTAAAGGTACTTTGTCCCATTTGCAGGCCAAAAAATTAAAAAAGTTAAATTCCAACTGCATTTGAAAGATAATACTAATTTAGAACTTCCCTAAAACAGGTGGGGCTTGAAAATGTCTTTAAGTGGGAAAATAACGACTAACTGTTGTCAAATCGACTTTAGGGCTATAGAGCCCAAAAGTAATAGTCTTGATTTTCAGACATTTGTACCGAATGGTCATAGTTTTATGCTGCGCAAAGATTCGATCAGTTTAATCTTGGCCATCACAAGAAGTGGGTTATTGATGTAGATAAATGCTCATGTACCCTTTACAACTCTTTTCATGTATGTTATTACCAAAGGAGAAAAAAACCAGTCAGTCACTAAATAGTGTCTGACAGTGTAGTCTAGCAAGTAAACGGTTTTCCTTGCATAATTTGAATATGAGGACACTGCTAACGTTTAAATTTCACAGATAGGACATACATGACATATTCATAATTCCTGCAAAGTTCTACAGAATTTGAGGTTGGCTGCAAAAGGGACATAGTACCTTTAACAATTAAGTGGAACATACAACGTCTGTGGATATTAAACACCTTGATACAATTCCTGGTAATTCAGATTTTCATATTGTAAGGTACAAGGATACAAGTTTTTAAAACTAGGCTCATGTAAATTCCCATGTATAAATGCTAATGTTACAGAATGCCGAGTAGTTGATAATAAATATTGTTTTGTAATAACAAGTTTAGGGCTTGGTCAGACCTGACCAACAACGACAACGGCAACGACAACAACAGCGACAACGAGATTTCCCACCAAACACGCCGAAGGCTCCCCCTGCATACAACATTGTCGGGTGTAAATCAGAAATGTTATAATGATGACAAACATATAATCACAAGATTACCAATCCCCCCTCTCCAACCCACCCTTTGATCCGCATCACGATCAGATGAAACGATTACGTCATGTTTGTAAGCGCTTCAAGGAGGTCATTGCGTATTGAGCTCCAACTTGTTTGTTTGATGGCTAATATTTTCGCGATAAATCTTGTTGAATATTCACCAAACTATTTTAGTGAGTATAAAATAAACTTAGTTCGCATCACACTATTTTAAGGCAGCCATATGGTGGCCAAGAAGGGACATCGCGAATAGACTAAATCGCGAAAAATTGGCGATAAAATTCACGACGTCGCCAATTTTTCACGACGAGATTGAAGATATCGTGAATTGCGTGAATTTCGTCGTGAAAAATTGGCGATAAAATTCACGACGTCACGAATTTCGTCTTGAATAATTCGCTATTTGGTCTATTTGCGATGTCCCTTCAGGGCCACCATTGGACCAAGCTCTATAGATGAAAATAGTAACCTACATTCCAATTCGTCGCTCTGATCGTCACATTCTGGGAGACCGTCACACCGCCATCCAACGGGTATACATGCGATAGCCCCTGACAGACAAGTGAATTGATCAGGTGTGCATGTGGGCCGCTGCTCATCAACCGTTTCATCAACCGTCTCATCAACCGTTTCATCCACTGCAAGCAAAATAAAACCAATTGATCACAATTTAAATGAAATGCATATGATAGCTCAACTACTGTTTTGTTTAATTGATTACCCGAGAAATTGGCGTATGCCTTGATATTAGTCTAAACTGTTTATATTAAACGCAATACAATGTTTTGATCAGTAAAATGGAGAATGATCGTGCTATTGGTAGTTCTTTGAAATAATAGTAACTGTTTCTTATGAAGTGTTTATCAGTTTATCAATTGGTCTCCATGGAAGAACAATTGGACTCCATGGAAGAACAGAGCCATTAGGTTAATGGCTCTGAAAAAGGACTATCCAACCGTTTTATCATTCTATCATTGTTAAATAAGTCTTTGATTTTGTTATATTGTGTTATTGTTTTTATGATGATTTTCGGAAATAAAACAAACAACAACAACAAGTTACAACGTAACCGCAAAAAGCGCTTAGATTACTATTACCCCATCACTGGATTATGTTACGATGCTGACCAGTGCACACTCTCCAGGGAGCATTCCAACATGTCACCCTTTTACATGCGCGCGCATGCTAATCCAACGACACGGACGTTCACATTCTACCGGGTACCCAGTCAAAGGTACTATGTCCAATTTGCAGGTCAAAAAAATGAAAAGGTTAAATTCCAACGGCATTTGAAAGATGATACTAATTTAGAACTTCCCTAAAAAAGTGCGGGCTTGAAAATGTCTTCAAGTGGGAAAATAATGACTATTAATTATCAAATCGACTTAGGAGCTATAGAGCCAATTAGTAATAGTCTTGATTTTTAGACCATTGTACCGAATGGTCATACGTTTTATGCTGTGCAAAGATTCAATCAGTTTAATTTTGGCCATCACTAGAAGTGGGTTATTGATGTAGACAAATGCTCATGCATGTACCCTTTACAGCTCATTTTATGTATGTTATTACCAAAGAAGAAAAAAAAGCCAGTCAGTCACTCAATAGTGTCCGACAGTGAAGTCTAGCAAGTAAACGGGTTTCCTTGCATAATTTGAATATTAGGACACTGCTAATGTTCAAATTTCACAGATAGGACATACATGACATATTCATAATTCCCGCAAAGTTCTACATAATTTGAAGTTGGCTGCAAAGGGACATGGTACCTTTAACACATGGTTGCATGGAGAGGAGCAATTTACATGCAGATAAAATGCCTTGCTTAACCCTAATAAGGCCGGGGGGGGGGGGCACAATTTTTCCACGATTTTTCCGATTGCTCGGGAACGCATATGGATGGCGCCCCGCCGCTAGCTGACTTTTTTCTTTTGAGTCTTGAACAACTTTTAAAATATTTTTTTTTGAATATCGGACCTACAGTTACAAGGTTACGTGACCTTTTGTCTATGCATGTCAGCCCGAAAATCGCTCATTTTCGTGATTTGTGTACAAAACATAAGGAAAAGTCATTTTTCCTAAAAAACAGATCAAACATGGGTTACTGGGTTTTGTTTAAAGTTTAGGTGGTTGTTTTGGGAGTCAAAATAGTTGAATTGTAGTAAGAAATGAAATAAAACAACAAAAACAATGAAATACATAAGTTAAAAAACAATGAAATATATAAGAAATTATCAAAACAAGGGATAACATAAGGAATAAGCTGGCTCTTCCAAATTTTTTTGTCTTATTATTATTCAGAATGGTCTAATGAATATATGTAATAAAAAAAAATATGAATAATATATGATTTATGGGTAAAAATGTGATTTTTATGACTTTATTTGCATAAATTACCATAAATATGGACATGAGTGAATTTTTCAAAAAATTTAAATTATCATATTATTCTATACACTTCACTTGACATGCGTGCACATTTTCGCGGCAATCGGCCGCTTCGCGGCCGAGATCTTAAGGGGGGGGGGGGGGGGGCCATAATGCCCCCCCGGCCATACTAAGACCTCAAACAGCCCGGCCTTTTTAGGGTTAACGTAGGACACAAGTTCCGTGTCGGGGATCGAGCCCACGTCCCAGTCGAGTGATATAGACCAGTCGACTATACGACACCTCTTTGGAATCTTGATCAGATATTTGGCTTCACGTACTCCTTCTAGCAGTAAATGTGCATTTTCATAATTGAATAATAAGTTGACCGCCATTGCTCCGTAATGAGTACCATTGTGTTTAAGGCAACCCTTCTCCTCCCCTTAAGTCCACCTCCACCATGACCACCACCACCACCATTACCACCATTACCACCACCACCTCCACCAGGACCACCACTTCCAGCATCACCAACACCACTTCCACCAGGACCACCACCACCTCCACCAGGACCACCACCACCACCTCTACCAGGATCACCACCACCACCACCATCACCTCCAGTAAACATTCCAAGAGGAGTGTTTTGGAGGATCGTCTTCCAATTCCTTTTTTTTATATGGCTTTTCAGGTTGGTTTTGGTCAAAATGTAGGTAATCAGATATGAAATTACGGATTAATGGAGAGGGAGGGGCATTTCTAGAGGGGGGGGGGGGGGTAACCGGTCATTGTCTCCTCTTAAATCAATGGGGCATGACACATTTTACATTTCGACCCTGTAAAAACATTTGGAGAAACAAATTGATTTTCCTCCTCTTTTTGTTTGTTTTGCTTCCCTTGACAGATTTGTTTCTTTTATAATCTTGATTACGATCGACATTACATGATAACTCCATTTTCTTTTGCTCGTTTAAAAAAAAAAACCTGCATATGTTTTGCTTTGCATCTCATACCTTCTTCGCAATGCGCTTGGAGGTTCGCTCTAAACCCTTTATATCCTGTCAGGGAGTCACTGGTAAAGCGGATGACGACATAGTATGATGTGATGGTTACAGGGTCGGGAATGGCCGCACCAGAATAGACGCGATTGACGCGTCCTCTGCCCCGCGTACTGATGTAAACCTGAAATTTGAGATACAGGTATAATATCAGGTATTCAATAATATTACATTCTTAAACAAACAAACACGCAAACTTGGTATGTGAAAGGTCACAAGGTGATCAGAAGAGTAAGTATCCAATTAAACTGATGTTTTTACGGTCTAGTCCTAACCTCAGTAAACGTGAATGCCTTGGAATACACCTGTACGTTTGATTTATTGTAAAGATCTGAATAATAATGAAGTAATCAAAAATTAATATAAAACATAATGTAAAAAATACTGCTTCTAAATTGTCTCAACTTGACACGGACCCAGTGGAAAAACCGTTTGAGCTTGACATTTCCTTTGAAAATGAATTGGATGTTTGGGTTCTCATGATTCATTTACGATAATTGAAAGACAAAGTGATGAGTTAGTGAAATGATTTATTTGGTATTGTGAGCTTAGGCACACTTGACACGAGGTCCTTCCTCAAGTAATAAGCCTTCCTCTCCGTATTATTATAGTTGCAATGACGACCTTCGTCATTGCCTTGTTTTCGTTCACATTCTTCTTATTAATATTCTTACTTCTTCTTCCTTCTTCTTCTTCTTGTCGTCCGGAATCCCACTCGTTTTGCACGTAGTGCTTGTTATTCCTAGTTAGGTGCTTTCCTCATGTTCTTTTCCTTTCAAATTTCATAGGCATAGTCTCTAACATCTCATCAAGGTCACTACATTCTTCGATTTTCGAAATCACTCATGCATAACTGTCCAGGCGCCATTTTGTCCGTTTCTGGTCCATTTTAAGGCCTTTCTTTCTTCCTTCCTATCTCCACTATCCTACATCCTACAAACTTCTAACAAATTCTTCTAGATAGTCTAAGAGATGTTCTTTTATCTGCGACGCATAACCTGACCTTCAAAATGCCATCTTCGTACTCAAAATTAAAATCTGAAACCGACTCCATCAAAAATCTCTCAAATTCTCGAAAATTTGACCCCTAAATAATCTAAAACTGCCATAACTTTCTTATATAAATTCCGTTTTGTGTTAAAATTTTACAGTATCTTGATCTCATAATTGCACATAGCCATGCCAAATTTCACGCTCCAATGGATTTGCACAACATAAATAGCGCCCTCTAAAGTTCTGGGAATTGGCTTTCTCTCTGTGGCCGTATCTCCATAATGGCTTGGCAAACCCGTACCCTTTTTTGGATTTAGATACTTGAAGATATGCCCTTTCCAGCCATAAACAAAATTATATACCCTATCAGTGACCAAATTTGAGAAAATTGCCCTCCAAATTCGCCATTTTCAAGAAAATTGAGAAATAACTTCAACTTGCTCTAAACCGGCGATCTTTATACCTACATCAATGAAACTTGGCAGACAAATGTATCCGTATACGTGACAACTGTCTACTAAGTTTAGTAAATTGTAATGCCCTCTTTGCCAAGTTATCGCCAAAAATGATGAATTTACTATGCTTTACGTAATAGCGCGTTTGATGCGTGCAGTACGTTTTGCGCAAATGGCAATGGTTAAAAACTGACCGCACTGAAGTGCCCTTTAGAATGATACCAAGTATGATATATGTTCACGCAGAAAATTGTGAGTAAATCGAATTTGAACAAGGGTCACTATACGAATTCCGCCGAGTTTCCGCCCTATTATAACACGTTTCGGCCATGACGTCATTTTTTAAGACTGTTATTCGGTTGTGTTAGTATGGGCGGCCGTTCGTGCCAAAGCACGCGTCGCAACATGTTCATCATGCACCAAGTCCTATTGGTTTTGCACGCAGTGCTTGCGAGCCCCTTCTAGATCCCTTCCTCTACTCCAATTCCCTTCAAAATTCGTAGGCGTAGTCTCTAGCATTCCTTCAAGGTCACTAAATTCTTCGTTCTCCGGAAACTTTCATGCGTGACCGTCCAGGCACCATTTTTTCCGTTTCGGGCCGTTTTGGTGACCTTTCTTTCGCCCTAACTATCTCCACTATCACAGAAGTTACAGACTTCTTACATATTGCTCTGGATAGTCCGAGAGTAGCTCCTTCGTTTGACACGTAGAAACATGGCGTCATTGCACGCACATCGTTGTGACACGATTGCATTTCTAGTTTTAGATTAAAGTCATTTTATTATGGTTATTTTGATACTGACCATGTCATATCCGTCTTCCGTTTGGAAATCTTGAAATGTTATATTGAGTTGACATTCTTGGTGCGTTAGATAGATATACCACGTGATATCTTGGCGTTCAGGATATGTTCCATAAGGGTAGTTGGGTGAAGCGATGGAGTACCTGCCACCATCAGCGAGGCTGATGTTACCACCTGTAAAACAAAAGGTTGATTGGAAGTATCTGCATTAAACATTCTCTTTAGATGGCTCTCCCTCTTTCTCAATCTCACCTCCCCTCTTCACTCTGTCTCTCTCTTTCTGTCTCTCTGTCTCTCTGTCTCTCACCAATAATTAGAGAAGCGAAGAACTACTCGATGTCGACATTATACTTGAAAAGATTCAATCTAACATTTAACATTCTTTTTAGATCATACTCTCTCTTACTCTCTTCTCTCTCTCCCTCTCTATTTATCTCTCTCTCTCTCTCTCTCTCTCCCTCTCTATCTATCTCTCTCTCTCGTTCTCCCTCTCTCTCTCTCTCTCTATCTATCTCACTCTCTTTCTCCCTCTCCCTCCCTTTCCTCTCTCAACAAGAAAAGTTGGGGGGGGGGGGGGGAAGCAGTGGAATATTTTATTACAAGCAGAAGGGCTGATGTTCCCATCTAAATAAAATAAGTTGACAAAACTTGAATGCACCTGAAAGATACAGGATATTACATGTTTTTGATAATGACGTACATGTTCACTCCCCTGTTGCTCTATTTCTCATTACATCAATGTGTCGCCCTCTTTGTTGTCTCTTTATGATTTTGAGATTACTCCGGTGTGCTTCAGATGGTCGGCAATCATGAGTATGGAGATTTTTTATATTTTTAAATACCTCATTTTATTTTGTTAATCTTTGTCTAATCGTTATAAATGAGAAGATGAACATAACTAACCTTGTGTATCAATGGGAGGTTCTGCAGTAGCACCTGTATGCGGTTGAACACAAGATAACAACATAAACATGACTTCATTCAGATCACAATGTCAAGAAAGTGAGAATGAGAATGAAAAGGTATTTTTAGCAATGTGAACATAAAGAAATACGTTGCAGGTAAAAAGACAAAGTAAACAATTTGAATTACTCTTTTTATTCATAGATGTGGGATTCCCACATTGGTTAATACATTATGAATTTATTTGTGCGTATAATTTCAACTAGAATTATTTTAAGTTGGTAAATTATTAATTGACTCTGAGCAAATAATATCTCCATTAAAGAAGAGATAATAATCTTTGCACCATCGTAGCGTTGGTCCTGCTTCCTATCCCCGTCGAATCGAACTTTGTTAAAGGTAATAAAAAGTTTTGGGAAAATTTGAAAATCGGGTGGATAGTGATTCGTTACAATTTATATATATATATTTGGATGCCCCTGTGGATGCATTATAAGCACTAGAGAACTTAGTCCCTAAAACACTTCTGCTTCCGAGGAAAATTGAATATAAAAATTTACCGGTGCTCCCGGTGAATGTTGATGAATTTCAAAAAGCGCCTACGGCCGCACAATGGTTGCTGCGACCATGAAAATCTCAGAATATGAAGTTGTGATATATTTTATTTCTAAACGGGAATAGCTTATCGGTCGGTTTTAGTCAAGAAACATTGTTTTATGGCTTTATTAATATCTTGACCTTGAGAGGGAGCTTTACAACATAAATAGTTTATTAATATTTATTGACAGTCAAGGGAATGAACTACTGTACTACCACACATCCAGAAGAAAAGCTTACCCGGTACACAGATAGCAGAAACAGAAGCTTTGAAACCCCCGTCGCCTTTAAAATAGTCTGTTAAGAAATGGATTATGACGTAATCAGACATTAGAGTGAAGTTATCGGGAATGACGTCACCAGTTATGTCAGCCAGAGTGTCATCGAGGGATCCTGATGTACTGATTGAAACCTGTAAAGCAGAACGATAGGTCGTGTAACTTTCACGGAGACACCCTATATAGAGAGTGGATGTCGTCCGACAACGAGAAAAGTTCCGCATCAATGGACACGTATAATCCATGCTCCATGCTCACATACACATTTCTATCAAAAGTTAACCTTAAAATTTGTGACAGTATTCTACGTTATCTGCAGTTTCCATAATTTGACTATTCAGAATGTATATGTAACTTGCATATTCATTATTGTCGCGCCTTGATCGAAAGATTCGGTTATTTCCGAGTTAAAAATCATATATTATTATTATCATGAACATCCCAGATCTGGGGATAGCCTTGCATAAGTTTTGTTCGAGGAATATCAGAGGTTAACAATAAATTAATGAAGAAATATAGACTAGATCGGACAAGTCATTCTTAGACACTTTCAAGGCAGGTTCGCAGTTAGTAGCAAGACTTTAATGCAGGACAGGCGTTTTCACAGATGCGGAATTTATCCCACTAACGGAGGACACAATTTGTCCCTCGATCGATAGCGATAGTTTATTACCTAACTTGTAATGGAAAGGACGCCTGCGCTTTAAATGAATAATCTACAATGCATCCATTTTGATCAGCATTGAGTGATTTCAAATTGGGTGTTAGTGTCAGTGTTAGTGTTTAGAGCAGTCAAGAGCTCTTAAATCGAGCGGAAAATTTTCTGATGAAATTAATAGCCCGATACCGATATCAAAATCGATAGCTTAACACCAGCTGTGACGTCACCACATACTTGATTTCACGACGATGATTTAAAAATAGTACATCAAAACTAAAGATATCATGAAAAGTACAGAATAAATTTACACCTATTTCTCTGGTCTTATAAAATAACTCATTTTACACATAAGAATATATGAATTACCTGTTTCACATATTCTTATTTGATCGTCAGACAATAAATTGGCGTCGTTCGTGCGTTGACTGTGTGCGGATATAACACTAACACCGAACTGGAAATCAACATTTGCTTAATCCCTAGGGGCTAGTGTTAGTGAATAGGATATTTGTACGTAAAATATTAACACCAGCCACAAAGGTCGGTTCAGCGGACGACAATTTTGCAAAAGCGATAACACTAGCTACCGGAAGTTGACGATATTCAGAGGTCAAAGCCTTAACACCAGCTGATTTCCATTTCGGTGTTTAGGCTGGTGTTAGTGTTTATTAAACACTTACACTAGCCTTAAACACCCAACTTGAAATCACTCATTATCATGGTATTGGGAATTATATAAGACGCCTCATCATTCGAAGGATCATCAAGTTAAACTGTAATGTAGGGGGTACGGGACAGATGAAACTATAGATGTATGGGAATGTCTTAATGATTAGTCATAGGACTGTCAGTATGTCCACAAACAAACAAAATTATCCCGAAACTCTACAACGATACGTCGTATAAAGAATCATCGTATGAATATAGGTGCGCAGTTTGAGAGGTCAGGTCTCCTTTCGCTTGAGGTCACGTTAAGCCCCGCCCAGTTAGTTACACTAGTTACACTCCCCCTGTCCAAACACAACATTTTCCGTGATTAGGCGTGATTATGCGCTATTGTCTATCGAGTTCTATAGTTCGAAACGATGCCCAAACCCGCGTTTCGTTATACTGCGTTTCGTTATACGACGTACAGTTAGTAAGCGTCCACACAAACAATTTCATGTTATAACTATCCCGAAACGGTATAACTAATCACCCCTTATCAAGGAAAGTGTGGTGTGGGGACACGGGTGTAATTAAAGGCCAATGTAGCCATGAAACCAACCTTATGATCACTGTATCTCCCAAGTTGAAAGTCTTGGAATACAATGGATAGTTGGCATGTTGGTTCGGGTAGAAAGAATCTCCAGATCACATTCTGTTCTCTAGGATAGCTGTTGTATGGATAGCTGAGTGAAGCGATGTAATACGTATCTCCACTCGACATAGTTACATTGGAACCTGTATGAGTGAAAGCATTTCAAACAACCATATCATAAAGGAGATTTTATTTAAATGCATTTAACATAAATTCATTCACAAGGGAAAAATTAACCTAATCTACTTGAATTTTTATCCTAATTATGTAAAGATACGGCGATATTAGGTCATCGATCCGTCGATCCGACAGGGAAAGAAAACTTAAAACACAATCTTAAAATAGCTATGAAAACTTAAAGTATTAAAGTAGCAAAGTGGGCAGCATTTAATCTGCACTGAAGCGCAGTTATTCCCTAATTCAATATTAATAAAGCCAAGATAAACTCAATCATATGGGAGAGTTTTATATATTCATTATCACTTGCGGGCGCATAGGTAAGTCAGGATCCGTGGAACTCCTTCAATGGCACTCACAAACCAATAATTTCAAATCCGATTTCTCAAAGATAATAGACTATCCTTCATATGTGTATGCTGAGGATTGAAATTGGTGATACAAATTTTGCAATTTTTTTTTTGGAGTTTCTGATGGTATAACTCTATTATCAAATAAACAATTACTTTAGATGTTATACAGAGAGCTTTTGCTGGGCTAGCGCCATTAGCATCCTTGGACGGTGTGTGCGCTCTATAAGTTTACACTGTTGTTATTGTTATTATTATCATTCTTATTATCATTATTATCATCATTACAGATTAAACCATCCACAAAATTTACTTTTAACATTCAAAACTTTTACACACTTGGATTATTGAGAGATGTAGAGATACTGTTTTACTTACCGATTACATCAACATACGGCCGAGTAACATCTGTTTTTGGAAGAGATCAATATGAGTTGATTAGAAATGCGCCTTCTCTTTAATATTTATTGTTTTATTATTTCAATACGAATGCAAAATTATACTTCTTGCTAATTCTCTCAGAAGACAGATCGTTGTCAAACATGCCAAAGAAGTGATTTTTATACTTATTCCTTACTTTATATTTTATGAGACACGAAATTTAGTGATAAAAAAAGTTCTAGAAGTGTAACTGTATGGGTTTGCGTGTATGTGTGCGCGTACTTGCGTTTCTGTGCGTGTGTGTGAGGGGTAGGGGCTGGATGTGGGTCTGTGTTTGTGTGGTAGTGCATGGTAAATATAATTCAACCTGACCTGAATAGACGTTAGGCATACTATTCATCATGCATTGTTTTACTACAGATCAGTCACGTACAGTATACCACGACAATCCAAGTTAATATTATAATAGGTGACTAGCTATAATTTCATGTCATGGTATCCGATCTATAAAATAGACTTTACACACCCGGTCGGATCACAATCATCAGGTAGTTTGCTCTAGAACATATCGTGTTATATGTTTGGAGCAAGAAAAGCGTCATCATATACATTGACACACCGGCCCTTCTGGCTCTGAAAAGACGGGTAAACAACAATTTCGCAAACACAGCGATTTTATGCTCTCATATATAAGAGCAGAAATTTGTTGCGACAAACTTCTACTAGAAACTATATATTAGCGAAATTCAAATAGCGAGTTAGATCGCTACGGCTGCTGCGCTCTTATATAGGAGAGCGCAGCAGTCGTAGTGATCTAACTCGCTATTGTATATTTCGCTACTATATAGTTATTAGTAAGAGTTTGTTGCAGCAAATTTCTGCTCTTCTATATGAGAGCACAACATCGCTATGTTTGCGAGAGAGTAAAGTCCCAAACATATCTGATGAATTACCTGATTCACAATCAGCGTATAGATGAGCTTTGAATCCTCTGCTGATATCAGGGCCATAGTTCGTGTTGCTACTGAACCGGATGAGAACATAGTCCGATGTGATGGTTATAGGTTCCTTTATGACGTCACCATATAAAACAGCACGAAGGGAGTCTAATGAAGCAGATGAACTGATCTCAAGCTATGTGAATTAATGGAGAGAGTGTGAAGAAAACGGTTTAATAAATGGATCCCATTTGCGATAATAATTATAAATGCATTCCATGGGCGTAAGGAGGTGCGATTTGCCGGTTCTAGGACAATTACCCCCTGGAATATTACCCCCCGGAGAATCACCCCCCGAGGACAACTACCCCCCCCCCCCGCAAAATTACCCCCGGAAAATTACCCCCCGGAGCATTACCCCCGAGGACAATTACCCCCCCCCCCCGAGGACAATTACCCCCCCCCCCGAGGACAATTACCCCCGAGGACAATTACCCCCCGATGACAACTACCCCTATGACAATTACCCCCGAGGACAGTTACCCCCCGAGGACAACTACCCCCGATGATAATTACCCCCGATGACAACTAACCCCGATGACATTTACCCCCGAGGACAGATACCCCCCGAGGACAACTACCCCCGATGATATTTACCTCCCCCCCCCCCCGAGGCAACTACCCCCGTGGACAATCAGGATTCAATAGCGAAAGACGATCTGACACATTGAGAGATGGCTACGAGCCCATAAGATCCCCTGCATGAACCCATATTCGTTCAAATACTATGGCACGTTGTCTTCCTCATTACTACACATTTCCCTTTTATTATAATTTATGCAACGGCAGTGCGGTTGCAGATTTCCACGAAGGGTGTAAGTTTTAGGTAATTGTCCAGCGCTTTTCAAAATGCATAGAAATACATTTCTCTCGTTGCCCTTATTTGCCTTGCTGTCAATATATTGTCAGCGAGCGAGGAAGGAAGGCACTTTAGTATCTTCAAAATTTTATTTTCTCATGTAATTACATATATTTTAGCCGTTTCTGATATTTGATTTTTTTTACTAAATCAACGTTTTCCAAATCATTCTCTTGCGGCACCCCGGTTGAAAAATGCTGTGCTGGAGTTACAAAATCAAATGAGATGAATTACCAGAGAGCGGATATTTATTTTCTTTTGACATGGCACCGTACATATAAATTGAAGGCAATTTCTATTTCAAAATAATTTAACGTACAAGAAAACATATTATACTTCAGCATGAGAACAGAAATAAATAGATAACGTGGAGAAAACATTAATTTTGGATCATGGATGAGGGCCCATTATACATCCAAAGACAAATACACGATCAGCTGATTAAAAAAGTTACAGAGGATGCATAAAGGAAATCTTACATCCTAATTTCTTGTTGTGCCATTGTTGGTGAGAGAGGCTGTAACGCGTACTCATCTGCGCGCAATGCGGGGGGGGGGGGGGGGGCAAGGGGGGTACAGAGCCCCCCACTTTTTCAAGCACCCGAAAAGTGCCCCTTTTTACATAGGTATAGTGCCCTTGTTACTATGATAAGTGCCCCTATTAATTTGTAAAAAGTGCCCTTTCCCCTTTTCACCTCTTATAAGTGCCCCTTTTATTTCCACACGTGCCCCTTTACCTTCGACAAGTTCCCATTTTCCTTTGCAAAAAGTGTCCATTTTCCATTCTCATATTAAATGCCCTTCTTCTATAGTAAGTGCTCCTTTTCAGGTAGGTACGAGAAGTGCCCTTTTTCACTTTTGATAAGTGCCCCCTTCACCTTTGATAATTGCCCTTTTCAAATCTGAGAGGTGCCTCTTTTACTTTGACAAGTGCCTCTTTTCCTTTGTAAGAAGTGCCCCCTCCCCTTTAATGACTACCCCCATTTTAACTCGGATAAGCGCACCATATATTTTAACATGTGCCCCTTTAACCTTTCTAATAAGTGCCCTGTTTCCTAATGAAAAGTGCCCCCATTACAAAAAGAGCCCCTTCCCCTTCTCATAAATGCCCCTTTTCATCTCCGGTAAATGACCCTTTTCAGGTACGAGAAGTTACTCCTTTTCACTTCAGATAAGTGCCCGCTTCACCTCCGATAAATGCCCCTTTAAAATCTGATCGGTGCCCATTTTCTTTCAACGGATGCACATTTTCCTTTATTATAAGTGCCCCTTTTTTATTCACATAAGTGCCCCTTTTCATATCTGGTTGTTGCCCATTTTCAGGTGCGATAAGTGCCTCTTTTCACCTCTGATAATTTCCCGTTTAACAATGAAACATGCCCCTTTTCCTTTCTAATAAGGGACCTATCCCCTTTTCATGAATGCCCTTTTCACCTCTTATAAATGCCCCTATCAAAATCTGATGGGGGCCCCTTTTCCGTCGACAAATGCCCATTTCTATTCTCATGACTGACTTTTTTCATCCCTGGTGAGGGCCTCTTTTTGAAGATGTAAAAAATGCCCCATTTTAACCTCTGATAATTACTCTTTGTACTTTGACACATGCTCCTTTTCTTTTTTGATAAGTGTCCCCTTTTCCTCTCATCATTAAATGCGCCCCTAATTTCAAGCGACTAAGAGAAATTCCCCCCAAAGCTCGCTCGCTACGCTCGTACGCATTTACAGATGTTACTTATCAAAGGTCTTTTCTTTGCTTATAACCCCATCAGGATTGGGTTTTTTCCTCTTTATAAGTTGTCATTTTTCGCACTGCCACCTAGCAAATATTAAACTTTTTCCTCGCTCGCTTCGCTCGCTCGCAAATAATTTTTCAAACCATCACACCCAGCTGCAAAGTATGATGCTTAAGCAATATCTTGTATGGTGTATAAAGTGAAAGAAAAACTGAAATCATCCCTGATATTGTAATCACAATGTAGGGGTATATACCAATGCCTAAAAAACTGGTATATTTTCGCTTTGAGATTTCCCTTTGTAGGTGCCCTTTTTTGCCAGAAAGTGCCCCTTTTCTTGGTGCCCCCCCACTTTGGAAGTCGCTCGGCCGCCCCCTGGCGCAATGTATTGTTCAATGTCTAAGAAATGTAATTTCTGTTCTTTACTCGGTAGCAAAACTACGGGGGATTTGGGCAACCTCTAACCCCCCCCCCCCCATATCGAATTGAATAATTTGAAAGACTGAAATGAACTTCATAAATAACAAAGAAAATGAAGGTTCAAGAAATTTTCTCCAAATAGCAATTTGGAGAGAAGCTTGCATTATACGTCACAGTGTTATACATTCCTCGGGGGTGATTGTCATTGGGGGTAGTTGTCCTCCGGGGGTTATTGTCCTCGCAGTGGGGAGGGGTAGTTGTCCTCGAGGGGGTAATTGTCCTCGGGGGTAGTTTTCCTGGGGCATAGTTGTCCTCGAGGGTAGTTGTCCTTGGGGGGTAATTGTCCTCGGGGGTAGTTGTCCTTGGGGGGTAATTGTCCTCGGGGGTAGTTGTCCTCAGGGGGTAGTTGTCCTTGGGGGTTAATTGTCCTCGGGGGGGGGGTAATTGTCCTGGGGGGGGGGTTGTTGTCCTCGGGGGGTAATTGTCCTCGGGGGTAGTTGTCCTCGGGGGGTAATTGTCCCCGGGGGGTAGTTGTCCTCGGGGGGTAATTTTCCGGGGGGTAATTGTCCTTGGGGGTAATTGTCTTCGGGGGGTAATTCTCCGGGGGGTAATTTTCCGGGGGGTAATCGTCCTACGGGGTTAGTTTTCCGGGGGTTATTTTCCGGGGGGTGATTGACCAGGGGGTAGTTGTCCTGATACGCGATTTGCCTTCACTCTAAATAGCTCTAAACTTAACTACAGGGTCTGATAACAGGTCAACAGAGCCAAAGTGACTCTCTAAAAGGTTTTTATTATATTTAGATTTAAACAAAAAACGAAGAAAAATAAAAGTTTTAAATTCAGTCCATAATCAAATGCTGGGCTTAGAAAGAGGGCATAAGAGAACCTTTCAGTTGAGGAAACTCTTGAAGGGATTATTAAATTAGTATTTTACAGTGGAAATTCAAAGAAATCACGAATAAATTATGTCAACTAATGTATCACTAGAAACTGGTAAGCTAACAGATGGCCATCGTAAAAGTTTTAGGTCAACTACATATCGGGTAATTTATAAAAATACAAATGCAACCACCTCCATAGCATCTGGGATATACGAGAGATTCGTCTGAGAAATAACGATGTTTTAATGACGTCACATAATGGACCAATACTGCCCAGACGACATCCCATAATGAATTAACATAATTGCAAAGCTATTATTTCAAACCATTCAAAAGGGGATATGAAACCGATTCTGATAACTAAAATATTATGCTTGTAAATACACAGGATAGGGGTTAATTAACAATCAAAGAAACCAGACTTTCATATTGAAAAAAAAAACGAATGATATAAGGACGACATTTGTTCCCTCTTAAAAACGCCGAACATACCGCGGTGTGCGCAGCTGAATATACAATGGCGTCTTATTTTGTTTACAAGCGACAGATTCCTTTATTTTTGTACCGCTGCATTTGCCATCAAAATAAAACCATGCGCGGGGTTTAGAGTGAGGCAATATATTATACATTTAGCCTGACGGTAGTGAAGTAAGAGAAAAAACTCAAAAGAAGATGAAAGAACAGGCACTCAAAATGTATGAGATGTCATGGGACATCGTCTGATTTTGCAAATCATGTCCATCCTGTGATCTCACATATCTCAACAGCGTTCGGAGAGCTCTTTATGTGCTATGCCGGAGTTTAAGCGTTTTGTAATTTAAAATAATCATTACTTCGAATGTTTTCAAGCATTGAATTTTGATGACCTTGTCGAATTAAAGTTTCAACTTTGCAATAATGAAAATAGTTTTTTAAACCAAAGAATATCTACTTTAAGACCAGTGCACCCCGTCCCCATTCCGCCCGCCCCACAACAAGACTCATATATATCACACGAAATTCAGGATGAAAGATCATTTACCTTGTCAGAATCCGATCTGGTTGTAAAATTATCAAAATCGATGGTAAGTTGACAATCAGGTTGAGGGAGTTTGATAAGCCAGATCCTACTGATGTAAGGAGGATGGTTTTGAGGGAAGTCGGGTGATGCGATAGTGCAGGAATCCCCGCTTGATAGTAATATACCAGAGCCTAGGTAAAATAATGAGACACACATTAGCTTTGTATAATTACCTATTTTACACGTCATTAAAGGTAGTTAGTTTCTATTGACTTATTATTTTGTTATCCTTGGAATCATGCATGTGTCATCATACATTTCATAATTTTGTTTTAGTAAAATAGCGTTGCTCTCTCAGTGTTAAAACCTTTTTTCAAGAGGCTTTATACAGATTGAATATAATCGTTTTCAGTTGTTCTGTAGGCTTACTATTGAATGTTTTCTTAATGTAACAGTTGAGGCTCTTCAGCATATTTTCTCCAGATTCTTATAATTAATATGTTGTGTTATTGGAAGTCGCTGCTTCACATAACAATTCTTACTGCATAAGAAACAACGTAGATTGACTTCTAGCTAGGTCCCTGAAAGGATATATTATTACAATAGTATTAACTGAATATCCGGGAAAATAAAGCTTTATTATCTGTATATTTACCTCTCGTATCGATGTATGACTCGGCGTTTACATCTGTGGGAGATTGGGTAAGAAGTAACAAGTTTAGTTGGTATTTAATGGCAGGAAAAAAGATATATCGGTCAACCGTACTTCAATATATAATTGAATTCAAACTATGGGGCAAACGAATTTTACTAAGCAACTATGTTTCAAGTTTTCAAGTTTATTTGTTCCACATTTAACAAAAAATATAGATATACATACAAAATATTTGTTTAAATTGATATGTATACAGTGCGTCCAAGACAAAACGAAACCGAGAATTATCGATGTTTTATCATAACTTAATCACAATTATAATGAATAAACTAATCAATGATACATATTCGTAAAGCTTGGATCCTCCTCTTTCATTTGATGCAACTCATATGATGCATATTTCACGCATTAGTGATTTCAAACAATTTGAAGAAAGGGTACCAAAAATTCATTTAGCGAACGGTATTTGCATTTCAAAGAGACAAACATATTCCTAGAAAGTTCATATGACACCTCAATTAGAAAAAAATGAACCAGTAATAACATAGTTCTGTTTGTTTAAAGCAATGCTTGCATTTCCATAATTTTATTAAACGAATTCGTTTTCACTGGCTGCCTACCATAGCAAAAAACAAAGTTGACAACAGATTTAACTCCGTTTCGTTGACGATCAGCCATGCATACGAGTCTTTGGTCAACTATGTTTTTTGTTAGGGCAGGCTGCCAGTGGAACGGATTCGTAAATTATGGAAATGCAAGCATTACTTTTGACAGGCAGAATTTTGTTATTCCTTTCTCCTTTGTCCTGATTGAGATGTCATATGGAAGGGCAGAGTATGAAAATTAAAGAAAAGCAGTGCTTGTATATTATAGGTTAATGGTTAAATAAAGATTGTAGATGTAAAAACCGTAGCAGTAGAGAAAGACGTAATATACAGGGGGAATTAAAACACAACGGAATTAGGAAAATTATATACAGAATAATGCATCAGCACCAATACCCAGAGTCACGTGGTTAAAATGCGAAGTCATCCAAGCAATTTAGTAAGCATAGAACCGAGTTACTTGTTGGTATACATTAAAATCCGACGCATGCATCAATAATTACAAATTAAGATTATCATTGGAGAAAAAAAAGGACTGGGAGGGGAAACAAATTATATTAGACGTAAGAATTAAAATGAACATCTCAAAGTTTGAGCTTAAAGCTTATCAGTACTAGTTTACAGGAGGGATTAGACCGCCCTGTAAGGTCACTGGACAGGTGGTTATCTCATCAACTCAGCTCTCAGTTAACATAAGAAAAAAGAGGATCATGGGGGACCAATGGTCACCGATTAGGCATTGTTTAATATTGAGAGGGTGAAGGTAGCTACAAGCAGTACAGTGGGCCTTTAAAGAAATTTAACGATGGTGCGTCGTTAACCTCTGAATTTAAACCATTCCAAAAAGTGGGACCTGTATACATAATTGTTTCATGGGCATAAACTGTCCGGATTGGGGAGGAGATGAATATTGTCTCTTTGTCTTGTGGGATATGAGTGCATAAGGCTGTTTATAGCAAACAATGGGAGGGAATACATTTGGCGAATCACCCTTACTTTAATAGTTGATGCATGAAAATTCCGAGGAAATAATTGTATACATCAGAAACTTTCAGAAAACGATTTACAAGAAAGAAAAAAAAACGTTAGGATGTGCCTAGAAATCAGCCAGATTTAATTTTTCATATTGCTCTTTTTCGGATCATGATTTTTAAAAAAATATTTAAAACCATTTCTCCACGCTAGCACCCCGTAGATTAGATAAGGCAGTAACAGAGTTGGATACAATATTTTTTAAGACATGAGATGGAAAAAAAGATTTTAACTTATTTTATTACACCTACGTTCCTAGACAACAGTTTGCTTTAATGACCAATTTGAGTATTCCATGTTAGTTTACAGTCGATAAAAGATCAAGAAGTGTAGTGGAATTATCTGGGTATCATTAACAAAAGCTAGTCCTAGTAGCTCAGAGAGTGTATTGCTGAAAATTATAAAATTAAGCCCCGTCTTTTCGATCTCACTCGAGCGACGTGTCGATGAGAGACAGTTGGGGTCTGATCGTAAAACACGGGGTGAGCTTTTGCCAGGCTCATGGACACCGTCTTAACCAGCCATTTTCAAAAAACCTCCCTCATCGCGATCAGCTGGCGCGCGCTATGTACATGTATACATTGTTCAAGGCCCTGACGTCATCTACCCGGGTAGAGTTCCGCGCGCGTCTTAATAGGTCGTTTATCAGGATGTCATCCGGACAACGTCCGGACGTTACCGCGATCTCACCCTGGCCCGACTAGGGTGAAACTCACCTCGATTTCACCTCGATATTGTCCGGACGTTACCCCGATTGACGCGTCTTAACTGGAACGGGGTAGAATGTCATCCGGACAACAGACGGGATTTTAGTCTTGTTCACATTTATAAAGGATTTGTTTTGTTTGTATCCATACGACTACAAATTGCAATTCAAAATTCAGGGAATCAAGAACAATTCTAGGATTGGGATGTGAGTAGAAAATGCTTAAGTCGTCTGCAAAGTTTAGGATATAAAGAACCGTGGATGAATTTATGAAGCCATTCATATGGATAATAACAAGAAGCGGACCCAAAAGAGCCTTGTGGTACCCACAAGTTATTGATAGAATACTTGTATTAAGCACTATATACAAATTAAATATTATTATTATTATTTGGGTTACAATCATTAATAGAAGCAAATCGGGTCCTATTGGTTAGGTTATTTCTGAACCACTCCAAGGCCGTTCAATATAATTTCTAGTATTGAGACAGTTTAACCAATGACGGATCATGAGGTTTGAGGTTATGTTTAACCAATATCAGACAGGGTATGATTAACCAATATCAGACAGGGTATGATTAACCAATATCAGATAGGGTATGATTAACCAATATCAGACAGGGTATGATTAACCAATATCAGAAAGGGTATGATAAACCAATATCAGACAGGGTATGATTAACCAATATCAGACAGGGTATGATTAACCAATATCAGACAGGGTGTGATTAACCAATATCAGAAAGGGTATGATTAACCAATATCAGACAGGGTATGATTAACCAATATCAGACAGGGTATGATTAACCAATATCAGAAAGGGTATGATTAACCAATATCAGACAGAGTATGATTAACCAATATCAGACAGGGTATGATTAAGCAATATCGTATCAGAGATGCAGCCTTTTCACACTAAGCTAAAATTCATCGTATCTAGAGATGATTAGTATAAACATGTTTTCCCTGTGTGAACATCGTTTATACGATGTTCGGATAGATACGAAATCGCGATTCATACGCCCCTCACAGCAGGCTGCAGATACGAAAGTTCGTATCTAGAGAGCTTGAAATTTTGTGTGTGAACGGTTTAAACGTGTTCAAACTGGATGGAGCGTGTGCTTTGTTTGATATGACCTGACCTTCAATGCGCAATGGCACTACTGCGCATTTTAAGAGCAGTAGTTAATCACGAAACAATTAACGATCGCACCGAAATTTCTGTGTGTGAATGATGTCTCATGTACAGCTGATTAGTTTAAAACCCTTTAAACTAATCATGTTTATAGAATTTTATCTGTGTGTGAAAAGGCTGCAAGTTTAACCAATGCCCTTTCAGAGTAAAGAATCCACTTTCATTTCACATTATGTTTGGCCTATCACGAATCAGATCACTCATCATACTTATAAAAATCAAAAGAAACATACGTGCAAAAATAATAAATACACATATAATTAAAAAAGTAAAAGAGTTTGGAGACAATATATAGATTTACAGTAGGCTTGCGGGTGCACCATGTGTGAGAGAGAGAGAGAGAGAGAGAGGGTTGAGGAGTCCTGAAAAAGACTCTGACTTGGTAATCTTTCTTGGGGTGTGTAGTCCTGAAAAAGGACTGTTTGTTATCTTTCTTAGCATATAGTTCTAAGGAGAACTATAGCGCTTGGAGAGGATGAGTGGCTCGACGTTTCGAACAGGTTGCTTATCTGTATCCACAGGCAGCATCTAATATATAGATTTTAAAACCCTTCCCTATTTTGAGTGATTGAGAGAGAGAGAGAAAATGAAAAATGGTAGATGTAGAGGAAAGGAATTGAATTACCAAAGACGGCATAACATATACCTTGATCACACGTAGGCGTTAGCACAGCACTGAATCCATGAGATGTAGGATTCTTGTGGTCATTTGATTTATACCACATCCACACAACGTTTGAATCTATATCAAACCACCTCGGTATGGTCGTTTGGGTGTCAGTCAAGTTCCAAATCTATAATTGACCAAGATGACAATAAGTAAAGATGAGGAAAGAAACACCGTACTTAGTTTTTCGTTTCCGAAAATGGGAGAATTTAACAAAGAACAATAATCATTACTAGGAGTTTTTTTTGCTTATTATTGTTATTACTTATCTCCCCCCTATACCTAGCCTATAATCTAGGCGGAGTGCCGAGCTTTTTTCTTTGCTGCTAGACTAACCTTAAGCAGAACGTCTGATACGGCGAGACTACGAACCGTGAGCCGCGAAGCGGCTCACCGCCTATAATCACTGGTTTAGCTAATCAATATTCCTATATATTCAAAATGGCGGATCTATGAATCATTCAACAACAGCCCTACCAAATAAGGTACACCTGTGTTACGTTCGACCAATCAGATATAAGAAACCGCAACGAAAAAAGATTGCGCTCGTCCATTACTAAATAGGGGTAATAAAAAGGAAGAAGGGGAGATGAAACCAAAAAAATCTTTAAAATGATCCTTTTACTACTGTGAAATATCAAAAAATTAAAAAATTGTAGTTTTATGTGAACAATAAAACATATATCTTTGTATGGTAAAACAATTATCGTATCAAATTTACAATGACAAATTAGTGGTTCCCCCTTGCTTTGAATGGACCGCTAAATATTCTCCTCACAAAATCACAGCACAAGGGGATTGCTTGGTATATTGCACTCTTTCCAAAACCAGTAGGTAATGCAACAAAAATATCCCTGCCGGCTTCAATAACGCTACGAATAGCGGATTCCTGCAGTTCTCTGAATTTTCCATTAGGAATGCCTAGTTTGTTGGCCGCATATGATAAACTTTCTCGCAGAAGATCGTCATCGCATGAACTACCCGCCATCTTGGATGAAGAAAATGACGTAATGTCACGTGATTTATAATATGCATATGCATAGACTCTTCTCCATACGTGTTTCTGATTGGTTGAGTTCATTTCGTATTCATGAGGTTTTTTCGTACGAAAAACTGCCACGGATTCATGGTCGATAATAAAAAAAAACAACGACTAAAGCTAGACCAGTGATTATAGGCGGTGAGCCGCTTCGCGACTCACGGTTCGTAGTCTCGCCGTATCAGACGTTCTGCTTAGGGTTAGTCTAGCAGCAAAGAAAAAAGCTCGGCACTCCGCCTAGATTATAGGCTACCCTATACCTGGCTACCATTTTGCAAATATAACCATCCTGCCATTGTGTGGTTTCATTCATTATTTCTTTCTTTAGTTATTTTTTTGTTGTTATATAACTACTCATTTGTATTAATTCTAACTATCTGCCCGAAAAGAAATGATGAAATAAATAAGTTACTTTACATGATTTGTAGATGTATCGTTTCCTGATCCGATCTCGAGAACCTCTCCGGGAACCTCCGCATTGAGGGTACGAAATTCAATCCGGACAGTACAGTTCTGCGGAGCTTTGACAATCCAGGTATAGAAACCTTCAACGTCGCCAAAATATGCCGACCTATATTGAGGTGTCTTTACGGACAACGACTCGTTACGTCCAAGATCGACCACGTTTTCTGTAACAAAAAATATAATAACGTTTTTCTTAAATGGAACCTCTCAGGACAAATATCATCTTTCCGTTCTCCAAATAGCGTATTGTCGCTATTGGCCCAGTTTTGCCGACGGGGGCGCAATCGTAGTATGTGTCATCATCCTCTTCATAGGTTCTTGCTAGATCATTCCGTTAAAGAGGCATAGTAGTGGGCTCTCATTGGGAATTTAATACCATTTGGGTGTTTACCAAATAACAGATCTTGTCAATCACCGGGAGTGGCATCAAATGTTATGACCACCAGGCCTTACATAATGCTCTGCATTTTCCACCAATAGCCCCATATGGAAAAGTAATAATTTTACATTTCCCTTACCCGAAAACTCTCCGAGAGACTAAGGTTTATTTCTTGATGGGACCATCTGTTCGCGAGACTTGTACACCCATTACTTGTGGTTCCATCGAGTCTGGTGTCAGCGAATGTTGACCTACTGCACATGGAAACTGACTACCATGTCCCTTAAAGCTTATCAACACTAGTGTGGCTAGGAGGGATTAGACCACACAGCGAGGTCACTGACAGGTGGCTATCTCATCAACTCAGCTCTCAAATAACATAAGAAATAGAGGATCATGGGGGACCAACAGGCACCGATTGGGGAAGTTTTCTATATAGAGGGAGCAAGTAGCTACAAGTAGGACAGTGGGGCTTTTAGTCTCACATTGCTGGTTAATGCATCCATCTTATCCAGTCAGAACATTCGCTGAAATGCCTTTAATTTGTATGTTTTCTAATTTGTAATTATTTGCAATCATGTACATGTGACTAATACTTAGGACGCTTTCTCTTCCCCCAATTAAAAAAAGTATTGGAAATTAGACCCACCTTGTACAGCAAGAGCTGTCGTATAGTTGACTGTAGCAGCTAAGTTACTTGCTTCACATGTGTAGCGACCATCATGTGCAACAGTAGCATCAGCTATCAGTACGGAGCTAGAGAAAGCACCATTTAGGAACTCAACTCCATCTCCATCTGGAATAGCTTCACCATCTTTAAGCCACCGGAGGTGAAGAGGGAGGTCACCGCGTAGTACAGTACACGTAATTCGAGTCGGTAGACCTCGTCGAATAGTTATGGGTTCGATGGGCTGAATGACTGGAGGAACTGTGGGGTGAAAGAAGCATATACCCTTAAAAGTAAACTTGATCAAAACACCCTTTACATATTCATTGGATAGAGAACTCTAAATAAGTAGGTGGTGTTCGGTAAAGTTACAGAGATCTGAATGGGTAGGTGGTGTTTGGTTAGGTTTCTGAAATCTTAATGGGTAGCGGGTATTTGGTTAGGCTTCATAGATCTGAATGGGTAGGGGGTGTTCGGTTAGGTTTTAGAGATCTGAATGGGTAGGGGCGTTCGGTTAGGTTTCAGAGATCTGAATGGGCAGGGGCGTTTGGGTAGGTTTCAGAGATGTGAATAGGTAGGAGGCGTTCGGTTAAGTTTCAGAGATCTGAATGGGTAGGGGGTGTTTGGTTAGGTTTCTGAAATCTTAATGGGTAGCGGGTATTTGGTTAGGCTTCATAGATCTGAATGGGTAGGGGGTGTTCGGTTAGGTTTTAGAGATCTGAATGGGTAGGGGCGTTCGGTTAGGTTTCAGAGATCTGAATGGGCAGGGGCGTTTGGGTAGGTTTCAGAGATGTGAATAGGTAGGAGGCGTTCGGTTAAGTTTCAGAGATCTGAATGGGTAGGGGGTGTTCGGTTAGGTTTGAGATATCTGAATGGTTAGGGGCGTTCGCTTAGGTTTCAGAGATCTGAATGGGTAGCGGGGCGTTCGGTTAGGATTTAGAGATCTAAATGGGCAGGGGATGTTCGGTTAGGTTTCAGAGATCTGAATAGGTAGGTGGTGTTCGGTAAGGTTTCAGATATCTGAATGGGTAGGGTTTTTTGGTTAGGTTTCAGAGATGTGAATGGGTAGGAGGCGTTCGGTTAAGTTTCATGGATCTGAATGGGTAGGGGGTGTTCGGTTAAGCTTCAGAGATCTGAATGGTTAGGGGCGTTCGGTTAGGTTTGAGATATCTGAATGGTTAGGGGCGTTCGGTTAGGTTTCAGAGATCTGAATGGGTAGCGGGGCGTTCTGTTAGGATTTAGAGATCTGAATGGGCAGGGGCGTTTGGTTAAGTTTCAGAGATCTAAATGGGTAGGGGGCGCTCGGTTAGGTTTCAGAGATCTGAATGGGTAGGGGGTGTTCGGTTACGTTTCAGAGATCTGAATGGGTAGGAGTTTTTCGGTTAGGTTTCAGAGATCTGAATGGGTAGGGGGTTTTCGGTTAGGTTTCAGAGATCTGAATGGGTAGGGGGCGTTCGGTTAGGTTTCAGAGATCTAAATGGGCAGGGGGTGATGTGTAAAATATTTAGATAGTCAGTTCTATATCATGTACATCAACGGGTCCATTTCCGTAGGCTTCACGGGTAACGCTTTTGGAACAGCTTCCCTTTTTCTAAGATTGAAGCTTGAAACGAAATTATCCAGCAGAAACTTACTTGTTTGAATCGTCTCTGTAGTAGTGACTGTGAGAAGAGAAAGGAAGCAGCATGAGTGTCGTTGTTAAAAAACACTTTTGAATACTTTTCATCTGAATAACTTCAAAATTGAAACGCTCATCAAACTTAAAGATAAAGTTGAGTTGTACATGGTCATGCGATAGCATTGTGAAAGTGGAATCGATCAAAAAGTTTGATCATCTAGCATATAAGTATTGATGTGTCCTTCAAGGTTCTGGACTCATCAAAATGATAAAGAATTTGGCACAGTCTTGGTAAAGTTACAAGCACTGTACACAGAAAGATGTATATGGGAATACACAAACATGTGGCTGTTACATGCCATATTTAGCATATGAAGGTATTTGAAGAGCCATGCTTTTTAGAGAAAATGTTTTATCTGATGTTCTTCCACACTTGCATAATAACAATAATAACGCTCACAAATTATTGTTCACCACTTTCCAAAACTCAACCTTCTCTTTAAGTTACAAGAATGCTTTTGATATTTATTAGATCAGATACTAAGCTTACATTAAAAACACAACAAATGCACATGATAGGATTTTATCATTTATCAATTAAGTTGACACCACCCCCTCTCTTTCAAATAAATACCAGCCGTTCCAGATTAGCATTGGAGAAAAAAGGACTGGGAAGGGCAATACCGAGTTAGCCCAAACACCAAGACAGGTTGTTTATACTTACTGTCACATAAGGGAGAGATATCAGCTTGAAATCCTCTCGTTTGAGTACTTCGATCGCTGTCAAATTTAACGATTGTCACCGTGGAATTGATGAAGCTTGGTTCGGGTATGACGTCACCATTGAACTCACTGACCACAGATTCTGGTGTTCTGATTGTAACCTAAAACGTGATATTGAAAATTACTCGCAATCATCAATTCCTGTACAGAATGCGACCGAAAAGACTCTCTAAAGTCACACTAGGGCAGCGTATCCATGTAAAAAAAACTTGAAAGGTCTTTTACACAAACACGTTTAGACAACTTTCACAAAACTACTACTTTTTTCTTTTCTTTTGCCCCCCCCCCCACCCCCACTTGCAGAGACCTGGGGAGTGTTTCAAAAAGACTAAGACCGAATTTAAGTTGGACTTAACTAGGGCAGGTTGTTCGTTTATGATCTTTAGATAATATGTTTTCCTTCAATAATGAATTAACAGCAAGTGTAAATGCTGTAGATTTGTGACCATGATGTGTACGTCCGTTGAGAGACCAATGCCAGTAAATGGTAGAATCAAACAGTGGCATGAACAACCTGCCATAGTTAAATTCGATTTTAGTCTTTGTGAAACCCCCCCCCCCCTGTAGAATATTAATCTACTCATCTGCATTCAGAGAGGCAACACTCCATGCAGTCATTATTTCTCATTAATTTCAAGTGTTGCAGCCTCCTGTTGGAACCCAAAATGCTACAGAGGCGGATCGACGCTCGGTACACACTCAGACGCGCGACAGGTCAGTGGTTAAGCAGTGGCCTCTTAAGAGAGGTCCCAGGTTCGATGCGCTCGTGCACTTTGGTAAAGCACTAATACGCATTACGAAGTCCCTCGCAGTTGACTTAAAGCCGCCGCTCCACTGGTGTCTTACTTACAAGTATACACATGCCTTTTCAGCAGTTAGGTAAAATAACCAAATAAATAAACAAACAATGTTTGATTGTACACAACTGTGATAAAGCTATCATTTACTTCACCATGACATCTCAAACTGACCCACAATATATCATCTGGAGAAGGTTCATAACTTATTACTAGTTCTTTATCCTCGGATCACACCACAACATTACTGAAACAATTGCACTGGCTCCCAGTGATACAGAGGCTAGACTGCAAAATACTATCCATGATATTCAAAATCAAGTCAAATCAGGTTCCTAGCTACACAGTGGAGATGGTAGAATGGATCATGGGATATTAGGTCACGTTGCATTGCTGCCCCCACGTGCCTGGAATGCCCTACCCTTGGACCTGAAGTTGAGCTCATCAATTAGAACCTTTCAACGAAGACTGAAGACCTTGTTGATGAATAGTGCGTCCTGTTTACGTTATGATTATTACCTGAGTTAGAATATATGTTTTATTACTTTTGGTTATTAGTAGCATGTCTGTAGCTATGTTGACCATATGTCGCCTTTTCATTTTGTAATATCTTAGTTATGTTGAATTTTGATTAATGACCATATTCTTGTAGTGTGTATGATTTGTTGATATCTACGTAAAGGGTGATTTTATGTCAGTAGTGTTGTACGCAATATAAATGTAGAGTTGTTCAGTATTACTATTATTATTTCGTTATCTACGGATAGCTTCTAGGAGCTGCTAAAAGGTTATATAATTGCAAGGTTTCAAGGAATGATGAAGGAAATAAAAAGATAAGTTTTATAAAAATTGAATCAAACCTTGTCGTGGGTGGCCTCTGTTACGAAGTCATTCATGACGATATTAAGCTGACAGTTATCTGGTATCCTGAACATCCATGCTATGTGTTGTTCGCTCCCATAATCATTTGGATAGTTGGGGGATGATATGGAATAAATATCACCGTTGGACAGTGCTACAGCAGTACCTGAATAAAAAGGGGGAACATTTGGTATTAATGTGTGTCAAAGGAAACTGGAGGCGAGATAATGCATCGTAGGGTCAGACAATTATCAGGGCTATGCGGTAAGCTTAGCCGACTGGTGGTTAATTGGCCAATTATTTATGCATTCAAATTCATGGATACTTCTGCGACAAGTAGCTTGTTATGAAATATCTAACTCGTCTATTACTATCTGTAAACGAGAAGGCAGGTGACATACATGGTATATAATGCTAGGTTGGATAAACCTCTGACAATCTTTTACCTTGAAGGCAAGCGTATGAAATCCAAATATATAACAAAGGTTTACAGCGTGCACTTACCTCTCGTATCAAAACTATGCTCGATCGCGGCATCTGTACATAGACAAGAACAAGAAAACCTTATCAGTCAAAGAGTATTTGGAATATAAATGCATACAGTTTATTGCAAGCAAAGATAATTGTAGCTCGAAAGTATATCTGTCAATCATTAGTTATTATATATAAGGTTGATATCAGCTTTCAAGCTATGTTGATAACCAATGACATACTGTACTAAGGAGGAATGAAATTTGCTCTATAGCCTTGATGCCACCCGTTAATATCTATCTCTATACAATGAATAAGTACGACTGATATTAGGTCTAATACTAATGTATGACGACGAACAGTATCTTAATATCTTAATGGGAAGTATTTACAGTTTAGCCCTAAAGCCATGATTATCCAATTGATTAACTTTAAAGCTAATAATGACATCCAATTACAGTGGCTTAGCTAACAGGGGTGGGGTGGGGTCAGAGGCACGTCCCCCTTCACTATTAATGACAGGAAGGGGAGGGAAATAGAATATAGAGAGGAGAGGGGAAAGGCAACCTAAGGATGACTCGACCCTCCCCTGAACAAATTGCCTAATTGTTTTCTTACATGTAATGTACCAAATATTTCCGATGTTCCGCCCCCATTACGGCAATGCCGTTTAATTACTGACGTTACGCCAGTGCCAAAAAAGACTAACCATTTCTACAAGTAGATGTGACGTGAGCATCAAAGCCGTGATGTCTGGAGCTATCATCCTGATCTGATGTGAATCTAACCCAAGCCAGGTTAGACTTTACCTCAAGGTATCTCGGCACCGAGTTCCCAGACAAGAAAAACAGCTAAGATATAATATAAAGGTATATATTGAATTATTTCAATCTAACAATTTAACAATGTCAAGCCTCAAAATACTCACACGCCTGTTGCACTCGTGACATCATTTCGATATCGTTATTGGACCTGCAAGCTAATTATGAAGATTATGAAGGCAATTATTTCATGCCCCATTTGTCCAGTGACACGTTGCTCTCTTTAATTCACTTCATGTACGATTTCTCTCTACATAATATCGATAAAAATATCAATGGTGAAATACAGGGGCGTCGCAAAGGAACAACGAGTGATATTTATTCAATTGTGCTGGCAAATGCTTAATAGAATTATAAAGGTCACTTTTAACTTGTTTAATGCATGTCCAAAAAGTGGACATCATCAATGTGGACTTATCAATGACTTTGGTCCAACACCCATCCTATTAAAAATGTGTTTGATGTGAACGTACTTCATTGGAAGACATATCAGGTCCCTTTCCGATATGAAGAACATCTTGATTGAGTTGCGTATCGAATCGAGCGAATTCTACGAGAATATCGCAGCTTTGTGGAGCCTTTATCACCCAAGACTCGTCACTATCTGTCAGGTAGTAGCGAGGGTAGTTAGATGTCTGCAGCCGATACGTCTCATTACGCTCCAGCTCCACGTGGTACCCTAAAACAAAACGAAACGATAGATGAATATATGAAAACAAGAACGACAACAACAATAAAAATAACAAAATATTCATCTGCCAAATGCTTCACAGTGCATCTAGGAGATGACATATTCATTTGTCTACTTTAATACGATTCAGTTCTACGTGAAATTCTACAACAAAAACAATTTTCAAGGTTTAACGACCAGGGCGCTGTGAGGTGGACAGGGAGTACTTTATAGAACATGTGCTATCATGTTGCCTATTTCATGTATCATAATATAAATGGCCCTCTATAAAGATTGCCGAGCGACACCGAGCGCTGGAAAATGCTTTGTTTATAGCTGCTCTGATTATGACCTCTGGACTTCTGTAACGTCATGTAAACTCTAACTCTACCTACCTACTCTTGCCAGAACTACCTTATTGGATTCCGAAGATTTGTGGTATGATATTTAACATGACATTCTCATTCGTTTTCTCAGCCTTGAAAACCAATTATCAGGAGTGTCCCACCTATTGATTTTTGTGCTGGGTAGTCACACTTCTGGCCTACGGCGTTAAACGTACGGCCTACACTACGTAAGTCTATGCAAGTCTAACAGTAATTGACAAAGCTGACAATCTTCACTTTATTGTGTGCTGAATTGTGTCTTTTTTGCATCACTCGCTTTATCAAACTGTCACTTTTTGCTTCTGTATTACTCTCATCAGTGGCCTACCTGTAGAATCTGAGTTTTTATCATGCCAATAAATACCAGAAAATCAAAATTGACTAAGCCAAATGCAAAGCAGGGTGATTGCACCATGAATAGTCATGCTGAAGCCAATTATGACAGCACTGCCTCATCGCCGAGTCCTGAACCAGAGGTCCTTGGAAAGGCTGGCAATACACCGGTTGCTGGCTCGACATCCAACGAACTTCCACAGGTTTCACTGCCGACTGACTCAGCCCAGGGTCAACCTCTCAGTCCAGCAGATTTAGTCAGTGAGGTGATGACAGACCTCATGGCCAATGATATGTTCCATGAAAAGATGATGGCCATGATTACATCTATGGTTCACAAAGTTGTTGATACTACGTACCAGCGCTTGTTGAATTGCAGCGAGGAGAACCGTGGGTCCATCCACGAACTGCATGTTAAGCTTGACGAAGTACAGAAGGATTTCACCAAGCTACACAAGCAGGTCGAGGCGCAACAGGAGCAACTAAAAATTCTCAAGCGAGCAAACAACGACATGGAGCAATATTCGCGTCGTAATTGTATTCGCGTCTTCGGAATCGAGGAGAGTCGAGATGAAAACTGTGAAATGATCGCACTTGATATCTTTCGAAATCGACTTGGCCTCGATGTGTCTTCACCTGATATTGATCGCTGCCATAGAGTTGGAAAGGTTAAGCCTGGATATCATAGAGCACTAATCGTAAAATTCCTTAGCTACCGCGTGAGGTCCAAAACGATCAAATCCCGCAGAAGATTGAAAGGAAGTGGCATCTCAATTCAAGAAGACCTCACTGCGCTAAACCAGGATCTGTATCGCAAAGTGTATACGAGTAAGAAAGTGACCAACTCTTGGACAGCAGATGGTAGAATTTTTGTACAGGTGAAAGCGTCTGGAGGCAAGTTGAACACATCAATTGTGTCTTCTGAAGCAGATCTTGTACGTCTGAACATTATTGTGATGACTCTGAGTGCTTTCCTTTTGCCATTTTCTCATTTTGAATCGACATCATACCGTCCGAACACTGAAATCTGTAGTTCTGGCAAGTTTGATATGTGTTTTCTTTTTTTCCTTGATCGAACAATTGACTTTTTAATCTTTATTTGTTACTGCGTTTACCTATATGTCCGTTTTATTTTCCTAACTGGACTTTGACCAGTGAATATTTTCAGATATTCCTCTTTTTTTTTTTAATGCACTGTTTTATATTGCTTATAGTCTACTTGGTGTACTTGTTTTTATCTTTCATTTGTAATAGTATATATGTGTGACTCAATTTTAAGCCAACCCAATTCGTTTACATTTAACGGCCTTGACTCTTTAAACGGAGTGGACAGTGACCTACATCCTCAGTCAAATTACTATTCATGTGATGAGTTCAATGGATTCATAGATGCAAAAGATAAGGTTTCTCATAATTTTTCCTGTATTCATTTTAATTGTCGAAGTCTCGTCAAGAACTTTGATATATTTTCCCTGTTTTTAAATGACATTCATCATAATTTCACTATTATAGGACTAACAGAAACATGGTTTAAGCCTGAAGATTCGTTGAGTTTGTACAACATTGATAACTATGATTTGATTGTGAATAATAGATCTCAAAGAATAGGAGGTGGTGTGGGAATGTTTATTCAAACAGATCTGAAATATAATCAAAGAAACGACTTCACTTTTATGTCTGACAGTTTTGAATCTTTATTTCTTGAATTTCCTGAATTTGACAATGTTTTATGTACATGTACATCTCGTTATTGTGTAGTGGGCGTGGTTTACAGGCCTCCTGCAAGTTCGATTGAAGATTTTTTACAAAAACTTACGGGGATATTAGAGAAAATTAGTCGTGAACATAAATCTTGCTTTTTGCTTGGTGATTTTAATATTGACCTTGCATCGGTTACCAACCGTAGCATTACAGATCGATTTTTAGATACCCTTTACACTTTCTCTGTGTTACCATTGATACAAGCACCAACTCGCATATCTCGCCATAAAGCATCACTCTTAGACAATATTCTTACCAATGCTGATGCCGGTTGTGAATCAGGTATATTATTAAGTGATTTAAGTGACCACCTACCTGTCTTTACTTTTACCAATGTTCTTTTGAAATTGAGTGAAAACATAGATTTACCTGTAAACAAGCGTGTCTTTAATGATGCGAATTTTTTGAAGTTCAGTCAAAATTTAAGTGAACTAGATTGGCATGATTGTATACAAATTGAAGATTCTAATGTTAACTACAACAGCTTCATTTCAGTGTTCATGGCTTTATACAATGAATGTTTTCCTTTTACCACCATACGCAAAAAAAAAAACTTTAAAAAACCATGGTATACTACTTACCTTAAAAAAATGTCCAATAAAAGACTCAGGCTTTATAGAAAATACTTAAAGAAACCTACTAATGAAAATAAAAACCAATACAATTCGTATAGAAATATTGTTACTAGGGAAATCCGCAAAGCAAAGACAAATTACTATAATCAGAGATTTAAAAATTTGAATGGTAACATGTCAGGGACATGGAAAGTGATAAATAACCTATTGAGAAAGAAAAACAAAACAAAAATTCCTGAATTCAAAAAGGATGGTGAGACCATTGATGATGAAGCTGTTGCAGAAGGTTTCAATGATTACTTTGTTCATGTAGCACCAAGAATGCTCAGTGAAGTAAACAATGTAGCCCAGCCTACTTGTTCCCCGACTGCTCATATTGTGAACAACTCGCATTCTTTTTTCTGTAAACCTATACATGAAAGTGAAATTATAAATATTGTAGACAAAATGAAAGGTGGTACAAGTCCAGGATATGATGATGTTCACATATCTGTAGTTAAGAAAATTATTCACTTGATTAGTAAACCCTTATGTGCAATATTTAATGTTTCTATTAACAATGGAATATTCCCTGACAAGTTAAAAGTTGCGAAGGTTATTCCAATATTTAAGAAGGGTCAATCTAATCTGTATTCAAATTATCGGCCAATTTCTCTCCTTCCTATATTCTCAAAGATTCTTGAGAAATGCATGTACAATCGACTTATCACTTTCATTGAAAAATTTCAGTTGCTTTTCAGTAATCAATTTGGCTTCAGGTCAAAACACTCAACCTCTTCTGCTCTCATTGAATTTATTCATACTATCACAAGAGCTATGGATGCTAAAGATATATCTATCGGTGTGTTTTTGGATCTTTCAAAGGCCTTTGATTGTTTAAATCATAAAATATTATTAGCAAAACTATTCTGTTTAGGCATCAGAGGTATCCCTTTGAAATGGTTTCAGAGCTATTTAGATGACCGAAAACAATTCACTGTTTACAATAAAAACCAATCTGATATGCAAAAAATCTCATGCGGAATTCCGCAAGGGTCAATTCTAGGCCCTCTACTTTTTCTAATATATATAAATGATATTCATAAATGTTCTTCCAAACTTAGTTATGTCCTCTTTGCAGATGACACTACAATTTCTTTATCAAACAAAGATGAAGCAACCCTTATTCAAACTTTAGACCATGAACTAGAACATGTCGCCCATTGGCTCAAACTTAACAAGCTACTACTTAATACAAACAAAACTCACATGATGATTTTCACCAAAAGAAATATTGATATTTCCAACTATAAGGTATATCTAAATGGCTCTGAAATCACAATAGTATCAAACACAAAATTTCTAGGAATTCAAATTGATGACAAATTGCGTTGGCATGACCATGTAAATTACATATGTACAACAATTTCACGAAATATTGGTGTAATGAACAAAGTAAACTATCTGCCTAGAAATATTTTGTTATCTCTTTACTACACACTCATTTACCCTTTTCTTATATATTGCAATATTGTCTGGGCCTCAGCTTCTCAAGTAAAAATGTTGAGGGTATATAGATTGCAAAAAAGAGCAGTGAGGATAATTTGTAAAATGCCTTTCCTTGCCTCCACTAAACCTTTATTTACTCAATTAAAAATCTTGAATGTATTCGATTTGTATAAATTAAGACTGGCCATTTTTATGTTCTCTTGTCAGAGACAGATCTTGCCATTATCCCTGACTCGCTATGTTTCCATTAACTCTTCAATCCACTCCCACTGTACTCGTTCAAATGCAGACTTTCACATCCCATATGCAAGAACTTCAGTTTCTCAAAAGACAATTTACTATGCAGGTCCCAAACTATGGAATGCATTGCCACCTTATCTAAAATCTGCATGTTCTCTGAATGTTTTCAAGAGACAATACAAAGAAAGGCTTCTACAATCTTATCCACATTGAGTCACCTGTTGTTTGTTGTTTATGTCAATGTTAATTGTTATATCCCTGGTTTGTATGGGGTTTTTTTTATTTTTTATAATTGTTATTTCTATTTTCTATTTTGTATGTACTATTATTCTGCTTGGGTCTAATTTCCTCCTATTTATCAACTTTACTTCTCATCTTGCCTTTCTCTCCTTCAATTTTCCTTCCTCTTCCCCTCTCTCTCTCTCTCTCTCCATCTATCTCCCTCTCTTGTTTCTCTCTGACCCAGCTGTAGCTGTATATGTATTCTCTCCCTCCTGTTGTTGTACATGCAACAGTATACAATGCAATTTATTTTATTCTAAAGGGTCGAATTCACAAGATCTTTGAGTAGATCTTTAATCTGTCCCCACTCAATTTATGTTATTTGTGTTGTCATCTACTGATTTTGCTATGTCCATCTTTTTATATTTGTTATACATGTATGCGTTTATTCGCAATTCTATGTGTCTGTTTTTTTATATTGAGTGAATAAATTATTTGAATTTGAATTTGAATTTGATGCGGTGGTCTAGATCAGCTTGACAAATCATGTCATGTTCGCCGATGACACCAAGCTGTAAGTGGTTATGACATCCAAAGATCACGAAGGCTCTATGCAAAAACTTAGCGAGGGCCTCTCCGATATCATGTCCTGTTCTTCTTCCAATAAACTCAGGTTAAATCAATTTAAGACAGAGGTACATGACGTCACCTCTCAGTTTAGGAGCTGTTAAAGTCTTTCACGCTTTAATGCTGCCGGCGTTGACATCATAATTAGAAGTAGTTCGTAACCTTATCGCCACTGTTAATAATGTACTGAATATGAAACAACATATCAGGAATATTTGTCGGACGACTGATTTCTTCATCTCAAGGATTAGTAGACTTCGAAAATATTTGGACAGACAGAATGGTTGATCCATGCTTTTGTGACTTCTCTTTTAGATTATTATGATAGACTGTACTTTGGCTTGCCGAATTCCACCATTTGTCCACTTTAAATTTAATTATTCAAAACATTGGCAGCCCGTCTCATCACCCGCCAAACCAGAAAATATGAACACATAACTCGTACTTTACTAATCTCTTCATTGGCTTACTATTTTAATTTGCATTCACTTTAAGATTCTGTTGATCTTATTCAAAATTAAACATGGGTATGTTCCATCATATGTAAACGACCTTCTCAAACCTATTGGTCATTACGGTCAGCAACACATGCTACTTTCCAATACGCCCCTGGTCCCCGAACCAATATCCGTTAAGGGGATAGTGCTTTTGCTGTTGCAGCCCCTGAATTATGGATTAGTTTAACAATTAGTATCCATCAATCCCCAACCGTAGAGTCGTTAAAGGAAAGTTTTGAAGTATCTCTTGTTTAAAGATAAAGGTGAGTTCTGGTAATGCGATTGCATTGTGAAAGAAAAGGTGTGGAATGGATCAGAAACAGTTGATCATGTAGCATGTAAGTATTGGTGTGCACTGCAAGGTTCTGGAGTCATCAAAATCATCATAAATTTGGCCGAGTCTTGGTAAAGTAACAAGCACTGTACACAGAAAGCTATATATGGGACAACACACATGGTGTCGGGGCTAGTACTACTTGATTTCCTTGTCTTTCTATGCTCATTACTCAGCCAGTATACATTTTCTTCCAACATTGTTTGGCACATGTCATTTATTTGTAATCTTGAACATCCAGTGTAAGTTTCGTTTGATTCTGTGAGAATGCTTTGTTGTAGAGCGCTTAGAGACTTCTGATAAAGTAAGTGTTAGGCGCTATATAAGCAAGGATAATTATTATTATTCAATTTCAAATATTTGGTATGTAGTATTTACATTATTTTCAGTAAGAACATCATCCAAGTTTGTTTGACTCAAATCATTTTTAAAATCATTCATATTAATTTGCTTCAAATTTCGACTAAAATTGTACAGTACTTATGATTTACTGGAAGACAGCGACACCTTCTCCATACATATACAAATGTAGCAATCACTAAGGCATATTAACGTAAATCAATCGAAAATCAACCAATCAACCAATCAACCGATCAACCAATCAATCAACCAATCAACCAATCAACCAATCAACCAATCATCCAATCAACCAATCAACCAATCAACCAATCAACCAATCAACCAATCAATTAACCCATCAATCGATTAACCAACCTGGTTTGCAGTCTGCTGTGACGTTAGCCATAAAACCACGAGCCGTGGACGATGTTTCCAATGATGTGAATCGAATATAAGCGTAGGTCGAAGAGTCTTCCATTTGAACGAGGATAGGATGGTTTAAGGGTACGCTCCCTCCTGAGAAGGTTTCTTTGTCTTTGGTTGATGCGCCCTCTGTAGTTCTAAAAAGCACCTGAAGAACAGCAACAAAGGGAATATAATAATTATTTTCTGGAATGGGGTCTAATTAATGCTTCTATTTTAAGGTAGGCGATATGACGTACCTTCATTCCACACCCACACCCACAACCGGCTACAGGTACGCAAGATCGGGGGTGGGGGGGGGGGGGAGGGGTTTACAGAAGGCTTGTTAATTTGTTCAGGATTATTTGAAAAGTTGAATGATCAAGAACCTACACATTTTGAATTTCGAATCGGTTGTCATTATTTTTTCATTAATTATGATCACATAAATTACTAAAATCTCTAGTAAAGGTTCTAAAATATATTTTTAACGATATATATGTTATAGTGCTGTAAAAATAAACGAAGACCTCTCCTTTATCCCAGTTGATTTCGGATTCCTCTTTATCATTTCATTTAATCATTCAATCATTTCTTTAATGTGACCTAGAACAAAGTTTTTATAACGGAGATCAAATGCTATCTAAGTATTACCTGATCATTATCTTGTTCAGTTTCAAAGTCTAAGAAAGTGACATAGATTCTACAGTCTCGTGGGTCTGGTAGCTGAACGGCCCAGGTTAACGTTATACCCGGAGGATAGTTGTTTGGATAGTTCGGTGAAGCGATCTGATACGTCTCTCCATCCAATGCCTGATATCCAGAACCTAGGAAATGAATTAAATCAGACGTGAAGAGATCCCAGGTTATTAGAGGAATAGCCAGACAACATTTTGCATACTATCCACTATTTCAAAAATATAATAATAATAACAACAATAATAATAATAATACAAATTATAATAATAATAATAAATGGGTCCTTTTTTATCACTCATGTCTGTCGAAAATGGACACTCCTGACGTTCCACAATTAAGTACATTTGATAACAACTACAAATTCCATATCTGTATTACCTTGCTTTGGAGCAAAATCTTAATTTCACAATTAGACTAGTCATCTATGAACTTAATATGTAGGTATTGCTCAACCAATGAAATAGTTTGATGTGGCTGTTATAAGGACGAACAGCAATCTTTGGGAAAAATGTTGATTTAAATAGCAATTTGAGGATTAAATATCTTGCAATGATTTCCTCACTTACCAAAAAAGTGAGGTATTCTATTTTCTAAGTTGATATCTATGAAAACAATTACATTTCAGGAACTTACCCACCGTGTCGACTGATGTATTATCTGCGAAACAAAGAGAAATATTGTATTAGACATTCAGTATTTTAGTAACATTCCTCGGCCTAATAAGTAATATATTACACCAATCAATCCGTAGACTTAAAATGGAAGAATGAATAATGATTAAAAGGAGGGGCCTTGAAGACCAATGTTAATGTCGGTGAAAATCTTAATCTTGAACCCCAGTATGACATTGCAGTTTGGGAGGAACTGGTTTGCATCCATTGTGAGTCTGTCATGAAGACTGTTTGTTTGAACCATTTAGATAACAAGCTTTATAGGGAAATGTTCTAAAACCAGCGTCGTTTCATGAAACCGTCATAAGTAAAAGTTCACCGACATTCTATCGAAACATGTGTTAAATGTAATACACGCATTTCAGTGAGGTCTCGGGGGAACTTGTACTAATGACGGTTTCATGAAGCGCTGCCCAAGACAATTTAAAATCACGACTCCTAATTAACATGTAATAAGTGCATCGCTCATTGATTATAATAACAATAATAATAATAATGGGTTCTTGTATAGCGCTCATATCTGTCAGATTTGACCCTCCTGGCGCTCCTGATTATTACCCTGGCTTTAGCACGGCTGCCATACGGCGCTCTAGCTGCATGTCAAGGAATAAATTCCTGCTAGGTACCCATTTACATCACCTGGGTGGAGTGTGGGAAATGTAGATCAAAGTCATGCCAAAGGACATTAAATGTTTTGTTTCTACAAGCAGAAGTAGTACAAATCAAATCAAAGTAAATACAAGTTACATAATCAAGAAGTTTTTTCGATAATGAAAATGAAATGTATAAAGCTACTGATTAGAGGGATAGGGGCGCAAGGTGGTGCTTGGTATTTTTTCGATCGTCCTTTTTCCCTTTTCCCTTTCCCGTCCTTCTCTTTTCTCAGGGTTTACCTTTGTTCGTTTCGTTAATCGATGGAGTAGGGGGGGGGGGGGGGGTATCTGTCCCCGCCTTAATTACCTGTGGCTACGCCAATGAAGCAGTATTTTACCTTGTTCGCATGTAGATATGATGTTAGCTCTGAATCCACGTCGTCCTGAGTAAGGTGCTGAAGTAAACCTGATCCATACTGTAGAGAAATTCATCCTGATCTGAGACGGCACGGTGTACCCAGATAAAGTCCATGTCTATATTATTAGGAACAACAGGAAATAACATATCTGTTATACTTTGAAATTATGGTGATTGCAGAATCGTAGTTGAAGTGACCCGGCTTATAGTAAGCAAGGAGATTTTTCGGTTACGGTTAGGCGAATCATTAGACACAGTCATCATTATCAGCACTGTTATTCTTCTTACTAACATCATTACCATCATCATCACCATCATTATCATCATCATCATCATCATCGTCATCCATCATCAAAATCTGCATTGCTATTATTTGGGTTTACTATCATTTTCGTTATTATTATAGTAATAATGACTGCTGTGAGAGACATAGTTGTTTT